TGCAAGTCCAACCCACCAGTTAAACGAGTGCGTTCAAGTAAACCACGCAAAACACTGAACACACCTCAAAAACTGAATTTAACATTGTTTCAGTGGATGATAACACTGCTTTCTTATGCACAAAGTTTCACAGTCATTGGTGGTGGTTTCACAGTTATTTGGGTGTGTTTCACGGTTTTCTGGTGTTGTTTCACGCTTTTTCACGCTAGTTTCACGGTCAGCTGTTTGGTGTCTTGAGCCTCTGCATCGATGACGCCTGGTGTGGCGCCGTCCAACCCACCAGTTAAACGGGTGCGTTCACAACCCACCAGTTTAACGGGGTGGCGGACGTGCAGGGTATATATATAATATATATATATATATATATATGCGGCCGGAGCTGCATCATGCTGCATCGACAGCGGGCCGTAAGCCATCGTAGGCCAAGGCAAAACGCATTGCGCGGGCTGCAGCGGACAGTTCGCCCACTTGGACGAGTTGAACCGCCCGGTCGCTGCGAGGGCGATATTTTTTCCCCTCGGAGAAGCATTCAGCACGAAGTCGGGGTCGTGCGGCCCATTGTGACGGGCGTATCCCGCGCTCAGCGCAGCGGGAGGCGGCTCGGGCCAGCTGGCTCAGAGAGCACCAACACGTGGTCGAACGCAGGCCCGCACCCTGCGGCGCCGCTGGAAACCATAATCTCCGTCTTCTTCGCACACTTTCTGCTGCGGTTACATACGCGATCCCAGTGCACCTGCAGGCTACCTCGCGCATGTGTCACCAAAGTCCGTAACAGGATGCTGGACATCGGACCATCGCTCGTCCTGCACGACATCATGCACAGCCGGCTCGCCGGCTGCAAAGGCGACTGTGTCGAAAGGAAGCTGGAGCAGTGAGCTGGCGCACATTCCGTTCCGCATGTTCACGGCTAATAAAATGACGTTTATTTGCACACACACACACACACACACACCGTGCTTGAACATCGGCATGTCCAATTCTATAAGGTTGTACTAGAACCAAGCACTATCCGGCCACGACCCCGAACGAGGCATTTCCAGTATTAACGATGTCTTGCACCCAGGCATACCCAGGCACAACACAGGCAGGACCCCAAACAAATCCAAACACGGCATTTCCAGTACTAACGTTGCGTTACAATTTCCGACCCAAACACAACCTACGCAGGACCCCATTGGGCGAATCCCCGAGCAAATCCAAGGCCGTCACCGTGTGGTTGGCAGAAAGACTATCTCCATGTGGTTGAGGAACGCGAAAATTTCGATATTTCCCCCCTGGCGTAACATGTTGTAGCCTGGAGCGCATCTTGCAACGCAGGGTTCAACCCGACAGCATACAACCGTGGCATGAATGGTCCCCCATGAAGAAGGGTGATCGCCCCAGTGTTTGGACGACTGCTATAGCTGCTTTCACCTCTCGATGGTCTGCCTTCGGCCGCCAGTGCCCTTTGTGCCGGTCTCATTGGTTCCTTCCTTTGCCGGCACCGCCAATGTCGCCGGCGGAATTCAGGCATGGAGGGTGCTGACCTCAACAAAACAGCGTGTGGCAGCAGTGCCTCCTTCTTGCACAGGGACCGCGGAACTCCGGTTGCGAAAGGGTGCTTCAAAAAAAAATTGCGGTATCCGGGCCTTCGTCACGCGCGATGTGTTCCGCCGCCTGGCCTGGTGTCGCGGACCCCGGCTCGACAGTTTGCGGGTGCATTCCAATTTGCATGCGCGGCTATCTGTGCAGGCGCAGATGCGCTCTCCTGCGCGCTACGCACCCTCAGCGAACTCCAGCCGCGGGTACGGTCTTGAGCATTCACGGCATACGCGGCTGCGACCACATGTCGCGCGCATCCATTTTCGAAAGGTTGCTCATGGTGACCGCAATCTACGTGCGCTCACCCCGTTCGTCCGCATCCGTTCGGTGGTGGAAAGCACATATTTGTTTTGTGATGCGGTCGTGGTTGTCGGTGGCTACGGTGGAGGTGGTGGTGGCGGCAGCGGATGCAGCGGCAACGGCAGCACAGGCGCAGTCAGCGGCAGTGGTGCGGATTCAGCATGGTGTTAGGGCATCAACGTGTGGATGGCAACTTCTCTCAGGATGGGGGGCTGTGGTTTACCGAACCACCGGCGCCGGAAAATGGGGGGGTAACATCGGCCCCACCACCACTTCCTCTTGAACAAAGATGACCCCCCCTCTGTTTTATATACAAACCGTTTCATGAGGGGATTGCCTTCACCTTTGTATAAGGCCTATCTGGATGGGTTGTGATTTCTTGCTGTACTCTTGTTGCGGAATGAACCAGTCGGCTGACAATTTTGCCCACTGTTGCTGATGGTGATCACCACGTGTCAACTTTCTACGCTTGGCAGTTTGGCAGTGCTTGTGCGGTCGTTTCGCTGCTCGAACTTCTGTGAAAACACGCACGTGCTTTTCACGACTTGCATTCAAAGTGCCTCCGCGCCCGGTCAAACGTTGCTTGGTCCTGCACCTGGCCCGTCCTTCCCAGGCCCCGTGAGGCCGGACGGATAGGCCCCCGAGGCCCTGAAGCTGGTAGGGGCCTTGCACCTTGCGTGTCTGCACAATGCAGTCTTGCGGCTCAAGCCCTGCTTTCGAGCCTTCCTACAGACCAGCCATGGCTGGTGACGCTCCCAGCGCTCCTTCCATGCGCTGCTCTTCCCACCAGACAGCTGGTCGCCGAAGAGCCTTGACCATAAGCGTGCTCGCCCTTCCGCAGAGGTGGCTGTTCACGTTGCTGACGACGAGCATTAAATAAGGATACCCGCTGCCCCGTATAAAATGGCTCCGCCAGCGCAGCCGCTTGTAGGAAATCTCTCGTACCAGGGCCTTTTTTTCCAGGTGCCATCCATTCCTACCAAGAAGACGACCAGCAGTACTACCACCACACCATTGCGACATATTGCGACAATAATACCACCACATACTACGACGAAATACGAAGTATGACTACCACATACCAGCTACTACCTCGGCTACAAGCACAACCAAGCATTAGCCGGGCTGGCTTTTTGTTGCTGTTTTGCTGGCCGTGTGGCCGACACAACAGAGCGGCATGAGCGGCCGAAGCCATGGCGCAGCCCATCGCCTGACGGCTCTTAATTAGTGCTGTGGCACGCGTGCACTCTGCGAGAGCTGAGCCAGCAGACTACGCAACCTGTCGTCGTGTGCAAAGACTTTTTCACACGACGACTACGACGCGTTGCGTAGTCTGCTGGCTCAGCTCTCGCTGATTTTCAACGCCCTTCTCCCCATTTGCTGTGTGTCTGATGTCGGCCTTCAAGACTTGGCAACCGGCCCACTGGCATGGCCACGCCACGCCCACTCTCCGGACAGCTGCACTGTTGCTGTTTTTTTTGGCATTGCTCAATTTAAACCCCGCTAACTCTCACGGCAATGCGTTGATTGATGATAGTGATGCTCTGCTCGTGGGGCGCATCGTTCGGTTGCCGCTATCTGAACTATGCCATGTGTTTGCTCATGCCGAGAGCCAAGAGCACCCACACTGGCACCCACATCTTGCTTGATGTCAGACCTCACCGGTGGCGAGCAAGTGGTAAGCAATTGGCTGCTAAGCCGCAGGGTGCTCTGGTGCGCAAGGCTCGGTTTTGAGCCCCCGCTCCTGCTGCAGTCTGTGTCTTTTCAATCAATTCTATTAACCCTTGGCAGGCTGTTTGCCGCTGTGCGTGCGATGCTTGCCCCGCTTCGAATACTTCGGTGAACTCTGCTTTCGGGCGCTTGTGGTTCAGGGGTTTGATTCGTTGGCTGCGCCATGGCGCCGCGTGCGCTTGTTCGCACTCCAAGCCTTGCGCTGAATTGCTTACATGGGCTACGATGCCGGTATAGTACCCTGTAACGATTTATTTTACGAAGGCCAGATGCGGTCCCTACCACTCATGTTGCCGCGCCAGGCTGGGTTACGCGAGCGCCTCGCCTGCGACAGACATGCCACATGATTTTGCCGACACCAGCCAGCTCAGTGCGATGTTTCGCCCAACTTCAGCTTGAGCGTGCCGCCCTCACGAATATGGACGATGCTGCGATGCCCATGGCACGGTGTACGTTCTACACGTGAGGTAGAGAAACGTCTGATGCACGACACGCTCGATGGGTGCTGTGCCTACGACACATTACGGCACCACGCGCACTTGGCAGTTGCCACATGTTGCCACAACATCGCCTAAGGCGAAGGCTGTGAGCAAAATTATCCACTGGCCCCAGCCCGTTTCGCATTGGGACAACATGGTGCCCCGCTCAAAGTCGCCTCCGCCCTTCATGCGTCGGACAGCTTGCTTGCATTCTTCGACGACTGGTATGTTTTGACAACATGCAAGCGAGCATACACCACTCGCGACAGCGTGGTCGAAGCCGAATGCGGCATAGGGCAAAACAACCGCGTACGGCTGTGCCGGCAGTCCGCCTCCTCCCGGTGTCGGTGAGCTGGGGGTGGACGTGTGGCGCGGCGACAAACCACCGGAAGAGCGTGGGCAGCATGGCGGATGAGGACCGAGAGGGAACTGCTGCACCAGCTCCCTGATCTGCAATGAGCATAGTTTCTCCTCGCGAAATGCAACTCGCTGCGAGGCAACCATGCGTTGCTCACCGTGCCCCTACTGGTAGCAGGCCGTGGCGCCTTATGCGCAGGCACGTGACGCGGCGATCTGGGACCCATGCCGGGCACATTCTTGTGCTGGCGTGTGAACGATACGAACCCCACGATGTCGCATGCGATCCGCCTAGCCCTGATACCTGCGGCAACACCATTTGTTCATTCGCAGCGGTTGAGCCTTGTACAGGCGCTCGCCTAGCATCCAAATTCGAGGTGAAACGGTTTCGGTCAGACCGGAGTAGAGACCTTATCCGAAGTGACCTTGTAGCCCACTGCACGCATCCAGTCGGCAGCAGGCCCTAAGGCACTTTCGATGCCAGTGCACTGTACAAAGCACGGGCTAGTTTGGGAAGTCTCGACCAGTCGCGCGAGAGTCAAACAAGCACCCTCAAGCCAGGCGGCATGGCCAGTAGCATCCCTGAGCCTCATAATTACTCTTGGGACGCCACGGGTTGAGATGCACAGAGGGCGGTGAGGCAAGGAGGAAGGCCTGACGTGGAGCACCGCAAACCAGGGAAGCAGCTCTCGGCAAGGGCCAGTCGGGGACCGACTCGGAGATGACACGGCGTGGAGTGGACAAGGGCTGCCGTGAGTCAGCTAGCAAATCTACGTCCAAAAGCAGGAGGACGTTTCGGCATACAGCATCCCGCTCAGGGGTGGTATCCGAAGCATTTTGCCACTCGTGTATCGTGGCCTTGAGCACATCCAGCGGCTCGACGTAGCTCGTGACAAGCTCCCAAACCAGGCTGTCGTCTGGTGCCTCCAAGGAAGAAAGCTCCTCCAGTAGCCTCAGAGAGACATCAGTTCTGATGCCCAGGCCTTTATCAGATGCAGTGAGGCCCGGTGCACACTCGGGTAGGGCTTGAACGTGGAGCGGAGTGGAGCCATCTCCTGCAGACAAGAAGGAGCCCCATGCAGCAATGCAGGCAGGATGGGCTGTTAAATGCCGCCGAGGGCGTCCAACAGAAGAGAAACGCTTGCCGCAAGACTGGCAAAGTGTGTCAACAGCACAGAGAAAAGCATGGTTGCGGTAGCCGTGTTTCCGAGCACAATGTCCTGCCCATGCTCGCCGGCACGGAATGCATACCTCAGCCCAAGCCTGGGATTCGACCGATGCGGGGCTGGTGGTGTGATGCTGGCTTCCAAAGGTAGCAATCAAGGCCTTGTGGAGACATTGGAGGGCAGCGATACACTGTATCCGGCGTCCGTCCAAGGCTCGGGCACGCTTGACCAACGCCTTGAATTTTCTGGGTGTCTCTTCAATGAAGGCCAACCACTCAGGCCAACTCTGAACAGGACATGGGAGAGCAATGGTGTTCCAAGTCCATTGATGCAACCAGCACAAATCCTCCTGCAAAAGCGAAGCATGAGCACGATCCGCCCTCAGAACCGCCCAAAGTAAGTGAGCCTGTGGAAACGTAACCACGTACTGAGGCTGGGTAGCTCAAGAAGCGCCAGGCAGGAGAATGTATCAATGTGCTGATCATCCGAATGTTTGATCCCAAGAAGGGGCCGGTAAAAGGACCAGAGTGCTCCCTGGAGCAATCGGTAATCGCACTTGCCCAAAGGCCCCCAAGACCCAGCTCCATGAAAGAGCTTCGCAAGGACAGTGGCACAGAGTATGTGGGCCTTTCTCCGGACCGAAATTTGCGATACCTTGTATACCTTCCGGCGACCTTCCGCAAAGGATGCTCTAGCTTGGGCAATCCGGTACCGGAGTTCCGGGCACAAACCACCGCCTGGACTTGGTTGCGTACCCAGGTGCCGGTACGACGAAACAAGAGGGAGGTGTACGCTGCCGTTTTCAAAGACCACAGGAACAGCACCGGCAAGACCGGAGGATCCGAAGATGTGGCGCTTGGCCGCTCTACTCCCGGCCCCGAGGAGATGCAGCACACCAGCCGTCTTGTGGGGTCCAAATGCCAAGGAAAATCCAAACTCCTTGAAAGAATCTACTAGACAGCTGGTCTCGAAGGCCAAAGCGGAAGCGGCCTGCGCAGGAGTGGTCAGTCGAGGAAGGGCAACATCATCTGCCCAGACCACATTGTCGAGACTCAGTTCCTCACAAGGAGTGGCAACCGGGGCGAGGGTGCGTTCTCCATCCCAAGGCAGAGTTACTGGCTCAGAGCAGGGACGTCCCGCATCCCGCAAAGCATCTCTCCGCTGGAGAATTCTCGTGATAACCTCAGGAAACACAAGGTCTGCCCAGCTGGAGCCGGGTCTGGAGCCCCTAGATGTTGCTACAACCCGATCATCTCCCTTCAACATGAAGAAGTTCCCGTCCTGGTATCGGCTCGTCAGGGCTTCAAGCCAGGGGGAAGCCCCAAGGCGCTCATAGCTGAGGGTGCAAGGAGGTGTTGATACAAGGCCTCCTTTTCCTCGAAGGAGAGCTGCAGGCCAAGGGTAGATTGCCGGAAAACGGACTCAGCAATCGGCTGGTCACCATTGCGCGCAACAAGCTGCTGTATGACGGTATAAAAGGCAGAGGCGATGTCCGTGAACAGGGTAAAGTGAGTGCGGCCAAGAGAAGCAGCATACCTCGCAGCCCCCCTGATCAGATGGCTGCCAAAGACAACGCTGATGCCAGATTTCCCGCCAAGTTGCAATTCCGGGGAATTGGCTTGAAAATGGTGCTTCAAAGACGGGCGAAGAGATTGATGGAGGATCTTACTCCATGATGGTAGGAGCAGGATGGCTCTGTAAGAGCTGCAGGAATTCATCGATCCTTTGCCCTTGTAGAACCAGACAGCTTTACCAGACTTGAACCCGGCCGGTTCGCATCCTCGGAAGGCTGTCTTCAGTGCCAACCTGTGAAGGTGAGGTGCAAGCTGCTTCGAAAATTGCCGACCTAGTTCAGGAGGCAGCCCATCTGGCCCTGGTGCCTTATTGGCCTTTGCCTGCACAAGAAGCCTCTGGATGTCAGCTTCTGTGGGCAGTGCCAGCAAGGAATCAGGAAGGGGCCAAGAGGGAGAGTCCGAGGCATCATGGGCGATACCTTGCTGCACTTTGGCAACCAGAGCAGGGACAGTGAGCTCCACACCTGCCTCAAGCCAAAGTGGCGCCGCCATCTGGCAAGCACCTGATCACCATCGGCGCAAGGCGTGCCATCCTCAAGGAGAAGAGCTGGCAAGGGCTCAGCCCTGTATGGTTTCTTGCGCTTATGCGACAGAATCGCATGGAGGTTGTGAAAGATCTCCCCCGAAGGGCCTGTAGAGATCTTGTCAGCCAGGGAGCTGATATAGTCAGCTCTGTCGGTACGGCAGGCGTGCCTGAGCTGGAGACACCATTGTCCCAGGACAGCCTGATGCGCTGCCACTGCGACATCGGCTTCTCGCCACCAGGAATCTCCCACGCACGGCTCGGGGGCCGCCCGTCGGCCGCACCATGTGTCGAAACAGACAGCCAACCGCTGGCAGCGCATCTGGTGTTGCAAACGATGCAGGGACCGACGCGCAGCCGCGACTTGTTGTTGAAGCTGCCAGGTGGCAGGCCGCAAGTAGCTACGGTGCTGTCGAGGACCACTCTTGTGTTTCAAGCTCGTCAGAATGCGCTGCACGCAAGAGACCAGGATAGCGGCGTGCGCGTGGGCTGAAACGTTCCAGGGCACAGCTGGGAGCTCACTAAGCGCTCGTGCCAGGGCATCTGCATTGCCCGCTGCAACAATGTCCGCTGCACGGAAAGACCGTGGCCGAAGTGCTGGTGTCATCGATGGCCCTTGGATGGGAAGTTGCACATTCAAAACAAGGGCAACGTGGTCCGGGCAACTATGTGCGGCGTGAATGCTTGGCGCGGGATAAGACCGACAGCGTCCTCTCAGCCAGGAGCGAGGAATGCAAAGGTAGTCAAGGCGCGAAAGGCCTCCACCCCTTTTGTGGGTGTAGGTGTGGGTGGGACCGGAATGCAGCTCTGAGATGGTAGCAGGCACACAGCCATCAAGATGGCGTAGGATGGAGTGCAGATGCTCTCCGGCAGCATCTTCCGTTTCTGCCCCATGCGGGCCAATGTGGTCAGAGCTGATCGATCCAACAGCTGCATTACAATCGCCAGCGAAGACAACCCATTCATCCCGGCAATGCACCTTGACAAGCCTATCTGTTTGCTTCCACCAATTCTTCCAAGGACTCTGCTTCAGTGGCTCGGTGGGGAGCATGAACGCCTATCAAGATGATCTTGATGGGTTTGCATGCAAACCGAACAAATAGGCGCCGGGCATCAGAGAAAACCACAGCAAAGTGTCTTTCTCTAAAGGTCGGAGAGTCTTGCGATCGCACACCGAGTTGATGGTTTTCCTGAAACCACCACTCGGTGCCCCATTGGCCTCGACTGGCACCGCTAGCAAATCTCAGAAAGCCTCCAATTCTCGAGAGACCGGCTTCGGCTCTAGTCTCTTGTAGGCATGCGGCGTGGACTCCATGCTCAGCCAGCTGGGACGCCAACAACACCGCACGGGCGGGCCGGAAGGCTAATCCCTCTACCGAATCACAAAAAGCGCCTTCCTGCTCCAAAGAAGGCCCAAGTGACAAAGTATTGAAAGTAGTGAGCACAATCGACATGGTCCAGGACCCGGAAGCGACAGCAGCATCTGTCACAAGAGTCCGGTCACAGGAAACATCTGTCGCAGAGAGGGCTCCTTGGGGCAAAAATGGTTCCAGGAGAGCATCGCCAGTGAGGTCAGAATGACCTGTGTCGTCGCCTAAATTGGCGGCACTGCATGGTGGGAGAGAAGAGTCTCCCGTTGCACTGAGCATTGCCAGGCCCGCCCAGGGGAGGTAAGGAGCTCCCTCACCCAGCCATGCGCACAGAAGGGGGAGATGAGTGTGAAGACCACACGAAGGTCCAATTTTGCGGGCTGCAGCCTTGGCCAACAAATCGGCGACCTCATTTCCTACATGCCCCTGGTGCCCACGAATATGTCTGTATGAATCGCGGCCGGGGACGCAGGAAGAGCGGAGCCAGTGCGCATGTCGCATGGCTTGGGCAACAGTGCCTTGGGCAAAAGAGCAAGCCCCTTCAGCTATACCCAGCGCAGAGGCACAGTCGGAAAGGAAATGGACACCTGTGCGCGTCGCGCTGGCAGTAGTGGCAAGAGCAGCCGCAAGCAGACCAGCAACTTCGCCTTGGAAAGGAGAAGGACAGAAGTCCTTGTCGGCCAAGAAGACAGGGAAGGATCCATACAGGAACCGTGTGCTTTGAGAGGCAGGGTGAAATAACACACAGGCCCAGCCGCAGAGATCCGGTCCCTTCTCAACTGCCGTATAAGAACCATCCGTGAAACAGACAATGTCATTGACCGGGTAATCCTTGCAGGCGGAAGCCAGAGCATCTGTGAGACCTGGCCTGCTCCATTGGCGAAGAGCCGGGCAGAAGGCAGAAGCTTGGGCAAAGTCCGCAAGATCAGCCCCCTCCCTCAAACAGCTGGGCAAATTGTCGCCACGTGAAGGGGACAGAAACATTGCCTACCTGGATTGCACAGTCGAGGTTGCCAACACAATATTCAAGCTGGGCCTCCCAGGTATTCCTGTGAAAAGGGAGCTCAGGGTCGTAAAAGGAGCAGAGCTGGGCTTGCACCTCCCGGGGTCGACAAGTGTCAGGTGACGAAACCTCACAGAGGACCTCAAGTGTGGCGCTCGCAAGCGCGAAGGCACAACAATCGACACGGGCAGCCGCAACTCGAAGCAGTGTGTAATGGCTAAGGGGCATCTGCTGAGTGTATGCCGGTAGCCGGCCAAATGTCCCATTCGAGTTCCGTGGGTGGCTCCGCGGAGTCGCAAGCAGTGGGCATGTCGTTCTCGTCAACTTCCGACTCAGTGTCATCAACAATGGCAAAGCACTCGCAACGGTTGGCTGAAGGAAGTGCGATAGTATTGCGACAGGGAGTAGGAATCGGGCGTACCTGCGGCATCTCTAGCCTGCAGGAGTGGACGGTGAAGCCATCGGCAGAAAAAGCAGCTTCAGCAGCAGAGGCACTCGCGGAGCCTAGGGGGTTGAGCAACCCAGTTGAAAGCGAGGATGGACTGCCCCGGATCTGCACACCGAAAGCCGGCTGACACAGCATGACAGAGCACACAAGCAAGGCAAACCCCAGGCATGCACGCAAGCAGCGGAACAAAGGGTCACACTTTGCAAGACTGCCAGGAGGCAAGGGGTGAGGGAAAGCGGCCCTGAAGCAAGGGCGACGACAAAGAAAACTTTCCTCCACATTGCATCTCGACTGGCACAGCTGCCGTAAGCATTTGCTGAGGCTCGTCCGGGGATAGCGCAGCGGATATCAACATGGCTTGTCGGGCGCTGCAACTGCGCGGCTGCCATAGCTCCCTCGGGAGCCGTGTGATGGGCGGGTCCCGGCACGGTGTTGGATGTTCCGGGATCACTGGCAGCTATACTGGCACACCCAGAATCCGTGGGTCCTGGATCACTAGGCTCTGAACGGTCTCCGTCCGAATCTGAATCTGGTGGATCTTCCTCAGCTGGAGCTGGAGGGCCGGGATCCCTCGATTCAGCTGGCAGGAAGGTAACAGTGAGGACGGCGCCTGGGTCCACAATGCAGAAGCGGCCTTGGGTATCGACTTGGATGTGCTTGCCTGAAAGGTCTGGACTAAAGCCATCCGGGCAGATTGGGCGAAATCGTTGCAGAATGGGGTCAACTGCAACACGTCCGTGTTTAGCCACATCCCATGTCAGGCCACACAAAATGGGCCGCATGTCTAGGACATAGAGCACCGACTCTTGACTGGGCTGCGCTGACTGAGTCGTGATGAAAACAGCCGAACCCCAGATGCCGAAATCAAAATGGTTTAGAAGATTGGGCCTAGTGGGCTGTATGACTAGTCTGGCAGGGTCGTATCCCAAGACTTGCGCTATGTCTGCACGCTGGGATCCAGTGTTCCATGGGGCTCGAAGGAATTGTGTCGGTTCATCGTCAGTAAGTAGCAGAAACCACCTGCCATCGAGCCCTGGCAAGGGTGCCTCTCGGTTCCATGACAGCGGATCCTGCAGCATATCCTGTATACGGGTGACCGTAAACACAAGATGTCCCAACGGTACAAAGGACACACAGAATCCCGTGTCGATCCCAATGGCATCTTGTTCTCCCAACGGCGTAACACGGTCATGCACGTACACTTCAACATTGGCGTGCCGTGGCAAACGTGCAATGGCCAAAAGGGATGCTCTTGTGGTGACCGGTGCACAAAGCCCGCAGAAAATCGCACCGTTCATGCGGGAGCAGTCAAGCACAACATACTTATCCTGAGTCCAGCTCGGCAGCGCAATACACAGGGCAAAGGCATCAACGGGCTGAGGATGGGCAAAGGTGACTTCAGGAAAAAGTGCGCGCACTCGCTGAGAGCGCTGTGCTTGGATGCTCGAGAGCGCAGCCTGTGCTGAGATGCCGACCTCCATGTCAACATAAGTTCTGGCAAGTACTCTTGGCGCAAACAGAAGAAAACGTGCTGGCATGAGGGCTGGATCCACACCAGCTATTGCATTTCCAGCAGGTCGCACACGCGTAAAGACAAGCGCAGGAGCTCCAGGTGAATGCTGGTCCCATCTTGGAAATGGGAGAAAGGAGGTGTGGCCTTTAGGCATGTCCAAGCACGCAGCGTAATGCACGCCGTCCTGGCGTACATTACGCGTCGGTGGCAATCCGATTTCAACATCGGGACTGCCTGGAGTTGGACCTGTGCCTTCTGCAGCAGGGGCCTCGCTACCAAAGTGGGATCCATTAGAGCTTGCACTGTCTTTTGGTGCGGGCGCAACAGATGATCGCTCAAGCACAGGAGAGAGCTCACTGGGTCCGACGTCACCAGCATCGTTTGTGGCTGCCTCGGGGGAAGCGGCCCCTCTGGGAGCTCTGGAGCGGGAGGCAGAGTGGGAAGACGCAGATCGCGTTTTCTGCACAGGCACGGCCGGAGGTGGGCCTCGAGGTTGCTCGGTTTCATTTGCTGCGTCCCCTGCTGAGGAATCAGAATGCTGGCTGTCAGAGGAGGAGGATTCGGCATCTGAATCAATGGCAGGTTCAGCCCAAACGCCTGTCCTAGCAAAACCGAAAACAACTACATCCCCCTCATGGAGCGTGAGAAGGCCGTATTGGTTTGGCCTTGGCCGGCAGACAAGTTCATGAGCGGGTGGCGGCCTGACCTCGACATACCTGAGAAGAACCCTTGCCTCTACTCGGGTCTCCGGTAAATACACATGCATCACAGGTGCATTAGCCAACCTAGGATCAAGGAAGACCAGTATCCCTGTGCGATCAGGCCTCGGCTGGAGTGGATAGACCGCTAAAACATCCCTGCGCACGTGGCCGTGGTGAGAGACATTTTGTATTTCGGATCGTCTGGGGGCACAGATCAGGGCCTGGTCAGAAGATCGATCAACTAGGCTGGCAACGTGAGTTCGAACTTCAACCCCCGGGAAGCGTTGGGCAGAGAACAATTGGCTGTGATCTCCGAAAGTGATTAGGACAGGTCGATCGCCCCTTGTTGCGGGTATGTTAGGTTCCGCGTACCACCATTGCGGCCTGTCAAGACGCAGAGAGAATGGGCAGTCCCATTGGGCAGCCTGTCCGACTGGTCTAAACTGGAGGACTCCTCCCGTGATCGCCAGCAGAGTATCACCTGGTGCCAAAGGGCGTGAGTGGCCGAATGCAAAGACTTCCCAGGCATAGAGGCCTTGGTGTTGGGCCTCTCGCAGACAATCTCCGTACCTCATGTTCTTGTCGACATAGGCCGAGTATGTGGGGCCTCCCAGAGCCAGAAAGTCAAAAACGACCACATCCAAGCCAGAGGTATGCACCCAATCCGGGAACAGTATGAGCGAGCCGTGGTCGGCTGCAAGCTGCGGTATTGTTGGTGCAACCTGCAGGTTGAAGCCTGAATCAAGAAACCGTAAAGCAGACCGTGCTGCATCAAGGAAGGCCTGTTGTGGGCAGGGCAAAGGAATGTCAAAATCTGCAAGAATCACATGGAAATGCGGGGCAAAGACTCTGCAGATCACAACAGTCCTGGCACGTTCCGAGCCATCAGATCGGTCGTCCACAGCCTGCATTGGCAGGTCGTCATTTTGAAGCAGGGGGGTTTGCAGGGCTCGTTCCTGGATTCGTTGGGCTAATTGTTGCCGTCGCTCAAAATCCCTATCTTCCAAAACCGAAGGTAGCTCACACCGCCTGGAATTGGGCAAAAGGGGGTCCGGATGCAATCTGGCTGCAAGAATGAGTATGTCAACAGCTTCCCCCCAGAGTGGAGGAGCTGCCCATACTTGCAAGGGTAATTGCCAGCCGGCAAAAGTCGAGAGGAGCGCGGACCAGACTGAAGCCGGCAGGAACTGGCTCGCAAGGTGCGACCTGGCAGTGCTCCTCCGATGGTAGGGCCGACAGGTGAAGGTCGTCCTGTTCGCGTGCAGCCAACTTCGGCCAGCGGCTGCAGGGTCAGGAGGGTGCTTTGCATTCGGGGCAAAAGCTGGTGGAAAGGGGAGCGGAGCCGCAGGGGCCGTATCACCAAAACCACTAGCAAGTACAGGGCTGCCAACAAGGAATGCAGCGCGAGAGGGACCAGCCAAGACGCAAGCCAGTCCAGCAGCTTCTGTGTCAGCACCGCATTCGCAAGGTCTGGCTCCTGCGAGGAGCAAGCCACAGCAAGATCCTCGTTGCAAAAAGAGGGATTGGGAGCGGAGCCTAACCCACTAAACCCAAAAGTGAAAGCGGGGAGGCAGTCGAAGTGCAGTTCGCTGTTGCGGGCATCCACCTGCAGGCAGATGCTCAAATCAGGATTACCGCTCCAAAAGAAGGCACTGCACACAAAGGTAGCAGTGTCAGGGGCAGAAGAAGTGGTAGGAGGTGGGCAGCCAAACCGGCGCCTTGCTTCCTCCTGAGGAAAAGACCACTGTCGCAAGGATTAGGCAGATGCATGGACTCATGAAGAGCCGGTGTGCAGGTGCAAGGCGAGGGCCAATGAGGCACTGGATAAAACCAAACCAGCACCACAAAAGCCGAGGAGACATGCCCCAAAGGAAGAGAAGCCGCACAAACCCAGTGCGGACCTCCACCCATGGAAGCAGCAAGGAATGGGGCCGCCGGAAGGCAGAGGGTGCCCGGCCTATCTACAGAAAAGATGCCAAAAAGGCGCCAGTTCTGTACAAAACAGCCGCTCAGATCACAGCCCTCGTAGTCCCTCAGCGATGCAGCACCCCTGCCAAAACTCGACCTGCAAGAGCCGAAGAGGAGCGAGTCCGACGTGGGAGCGGGGCGAACCCACCACTCCCACAGAAGGACAGGCCTCTGCAGCACAGACACATCGAGCTGACAGCAGTGAAGCGCCGGAGGAAATACGATACGCTTCACTCCATGCGTCCGAGCCAAGCGGAGTCGAGCTCTTCCTCCCTTTCCACGTCTATCGCACTGCCAGCTGGTGCACCTTCTGGCGGGCGACCTGTAGTCGTACCCACCGAGCTTGTAGCATTCTCGGGCGGTCGGCGCACCTCGCTGGGTGCTAACCCAAAAGGTGCCATGGCACATCGGCGTGCTTCGTGGAGCTTGTCGGCCAGACTCGTCGATCTTGGCGAGGGTGGCGTGGGGCTTGTCTTGGTCCCTTCCTTCACTCCCAAGCGGGTCTTGAGTGCCTTCACCGCCGCGATGGATTCCGGGTCCATGGGCAGGATAGGTCCTGCTGGCCTGTTGTCTGGCCGCCCTGTCGAAGGGGCCCTGGGCGGAGAGCTGCCACGAATCATCGCAGCAGGACTGGTGGTCATGTAGGGGTCGGCACGGGCTGCAGTGGGAGACATGCCAGCATAGGTGTGCCGCATGGGCCCAAACGACGCTGTATTGCTCTCCAACCCCGGAGGTGCAGTCGAGGGCGCTGCCGGAGGCACCCCCAGTCTGCATAAGCTCGTCTAACCGCCTGCCAATCATGTCTGCATCCACATCCATTGCCGTCCCACTCTGTATGCCTGTCATCAAGCTCTCCCACGCCTGCACTGCATGGGTGTGCTGGGTCGGCTGAGGTACACCAGCCATAGCACGTGCAAGGACCCCCGTCGCGTTGGCCTCGTGAGCCGTGGCGTCCATGATATCCTGCTCCAGCCGGTCTAAGGCATTTAGGTGGCGCTGGTATTCCTTCAGGAAAGAGGCACGTAGTTCCGCCTGGTAGGCCTCCCATCTGCGCGCCTTCTCGTGGATATCGCTGTTGAGCTTGTTGAGTCGCCCCTCTGCTTTGCGGAGGAGGTTGGCAGCATCTTGCACAATCCTGGCCAGGCTGTGGCGTTGCTGCGCCTCGGGCTGTCTCCTTTCCGTCACAACCTCTATGCCAGCAGGATCCTTCCAGTCCGCATCGTACTTCGGGAAACTGTTTGGCTGCGCCTTCGCTCGCGGGGAGTATTTTTCCCTCGATTTCCATGCTCCAGGCCAGAATCCACGGTAGGATCCACGATCGCGTCCGCGATCTTGCCATGCTTGGTCGTCCTTGGCACTGCGCTCGTCTTCCCATGCCTTGGTACCTTTGTTGGTCCTCGATTTTCCCATCCGCAAAAGCAGACTGAAGTCGGGACTCGTAGCGTGGTGGTCCTGAAGCAGTGTTCGCTGTCGTTGTGACAGAGATTGTCCGAGCCTGTTCGCTCGCCGGGCCCTGGATCTTCGTCGTCGCAAACGACGGTGCCAGTTCGGGGAGCGCAATGGCGTAGGAATGATGAACCACTGGTGGGCTCAAATCGCACGTCTAACGTGCTGGGGCCTCAATCTTCCGCTTTCGGCTATTTGGGCCCTGCGGCAACACCGGCAGACATGCACTCGGGCTCGGGGTGGCCATCGATGCCACAAGAGGCGTGTGGCACCCAGCTGTGGTCACCAAGCTCATGGATATGCTTCACGCAATTGTGCAATGCCTGTGAGTTGCCAGTGGTACCGCCCGAGGTCCGTGCGCACTGCCAGCGCACTGTAGAGAGCGTCTGCACGGCGAACTCAACGGCGCATCACGAAGGGTTACGGTCGAGGCCACGCACTGTGCAGTGGCATGCGGCTTTGAGCAGGCGGCGTGCGCCAACAGGCTTCCGACTGGAGCCGACGGCCAGGCGCTCGAGACCACAAGGTCCACCAACTCAATCCACTACTTGGCGGCGCAAACGATGCAAGGCGCCGCTCAACAGGGAGAGGCTGTTGCTCTGACCGTTCCAGGTCACGCACGAGAACGTTGTTGTTGACGGCCTCCACGTCAAACACGACCGGTGGCTCGTTCGAGCGGGAAAGCCAGCATCCAAGGCGAGAGCCAGAACTCGAAGCAGGTGCAACGAAGGATTGGCTGCTGAGGTGGTGGGGCAAGGCTGTGCCCAAGTCGGTCCGATGACGGTGCGTGGAAGCCGGCGCCAGCGACATCATGGGCCGCATCGCACGCTTACAGCATCCGGCAGCAACAGCATGCAGGACGGCGAGCTTGTAGTCGAATGAATCGTCGACGTAGAAGTTGCGACTCGTCGTGCCAACGCACTCTTCCGGCTTCGACAGCTAGAACTCCGTGAGTCGCAGCGGCGCTTCGGTCGTGGCGAGCCGCGCAAAGAAAGGTATGTTGTTTGTCGCTCGTCTGGGAAGCATCTGCCCGGCAAAGCTGGGCAGTGGCGGAACACTGGGCTGCAAGGACCATGATTGGAGCTGGTCGGCGTCGGCCCGTTGCCATCGAGCATGGAAGCATTGGGAGATCTCCAATAGGTAGAATTTCGTTGATGCTGTCTACTATGAGGAACGGAACCTTATAGCCCAGAGACACCCCTTAATGTGTGGCTATCTTTTGTGCCATGAGCCTCTATAATGGTGATTTTGGCTAATTCTGTTTTTTGTAAGAAAAGATTGCGAAATCTATAACGGTTTTGGGGAGCCCGGATCTGCTTTTGGGTTTGCTTCAGCCCTTTCTGCTAATGATCAATCTTAATCGAGCAGAGGATCAGGAACCTGAACCCCCACCCCCCAAACCCTGCTAAGCAGCTCTAGTTACCCCTAAACCCCCGTATTGTACTACTACTGTACTACTTCTGCATAACTACTGTACTACTGTACTGCTACTGTACTACCGTACTACTACTGAATTACCAAGCCTCAGAAGCGGCGGCAAGTGCAGGTGGTGGGACTTCTCGCGTTGTGCTCGTCATCCTAGGAGTCGTAAAGTGCCGTGATTGCAGCACCCCGCGCAGCGATCATCGGGCCACTTCTTGCACACACTTCGAAGAGCATTGCAACTTAAGGCCGGGCCGGGCCCGACCTTGTGGACGGCGAGCGTTGATTTGCTGATGGGCTCCGACGTCTGCGCAACACGCGGCGGAAACCGTATTTCCTTTCGCGCCAGGCCCCTCACGTAATGCAACTGTACACGTGCTTATCAGTCCTGGTGTCATCGGAATGACATCGCGCATGTGTACCAAAATGCCAACACTTCGGTAGTCTGTCCGTGCCCAGTGCTACAACTCCCACCCAGCCTGTGCCATGTTTTGTCTAGTCCAATTCTGCATGTCAAAATCTCTCCATTATACTATGTCAACCGTGACGAAATGCTGTCATGTGCGCGGGCAGATGCAAGCGTCACTGCAAAGCATGTCAAGACAGGGCCTGTATGGTGGAAGGACCTGCGCGATCCTGTACGTGCGACAGCCGCGCCATTTGCGGGCATACGTTAGCTAGAACATCACCCGATGCGCACCAAAACTGCTTCTTCTGCCTGGCGGATCGGGCAAATCCTCTCGTGGGTCCAGCAGGTATTGCTGCGATGTTGCCAAGGTTGACCAGCCCATTTTTGTCAAAGCACGCTTTCATTAATGCGAGGCCTGCGCCGTGCTCAAACTGCTGGTTCAGCAGTGAGCCAAGCAGAAACGGCTAAATCCTGTGTGGAGCTTGGGGAGCGCATGCCTGTGCCACTCAAAATGCAAACAAAAGGCTTTGCTACAGCGGAAATGATGCTTCTTTATGGGCATGCACGCTATATAGCCTTCTTTAGCTGAATCTACAAAGCAGCAGCTATGCTTATGGCATGCCGCCCTGTCATATTCAAGGTCCGAGTACCCCAATATTGAGCAACATGACAAGATCCTTGCCAGCTGCAGTTCTGCACAGCGGGTGCTCGGACCTTGAAAAAGTCACATGGGCTGCCCTCTCCGGAATGACCTTCTGCACACGAGGGCCCAACATGTCATGACTCCTGTCTTGAAACGGAAAGGGCATACCCTGAAAACGAGATAATGCAGTGGGTGCTGGGCTCTCAGCATCTCAGGCTGATCAGTATCTGATCCTGACATCAAGATAGCATCTTCTGCAACGTGTGTAAAACCGCCGGGCTTTGCAGCTGCGGCATACCTGCATGTAGCTCGAAGCGCCTCCACAATATGCCTATTTACCTGCTTGGTTTGATGACTCTGCTCTGGAGAAAATGGAAACAACATGCGAGAAGCTCAGTGGGCGTGAGACTTGCCAAACCCCTGGGTCTACAGCTTTGCTGGTAGCATTGGGCAGTCGAGCAACATCGAGCAAGAAAACAACTGTGCCCAAGGCCATTGGTGGGGAGCCTTTGGCTCCCAAACCTTCCAAGGACGCGACACCTGGCATGCGAAGAATTTGGGGGTTTGTTGGCTCGGGTGTAGCACCCCGAGTGGCCGACGTCCCGCTTTGGATCGTCGCGAGTGAACTGGAAGTGGTCGTTCACCTGAACAGCTTGCACAGCTTGCCGCAAGCGCATTAGCAAAGCACCGATGGCTTAAGCACTCTTCTCATACACTGGCAAGGTGTTTCCCGAGGACAGCACTGCGAAAGCTCCGTGGGCCAACCTCGTCTGTCACAGGCATGATACAAGGCTCCATGCAGATTACCTTACAGATGCAATTGCATGCAGCTGATGCTCGTTGGGCAAAGATGGAATCGGAGCAGCGGCAAACACAAAGAGTTGCCAAACAACGCCTTGAGCTTCAGGCCTTTTGCGATTTGTCTCGCAGGCAGTGATCCAATTTGTCCGCCATTCGGCGCCCTGCAATTTGCGGTGATCTGACATTTGTGCTTAAAGCCTCACGGAGACCGCGGAAGCTGCTAGTTAACAAACCATGGTGCATGGCATGGACAAGTTCTTGCAAGCACATTAAAACAATCACGCTGGCCTCATCGTTTGCCCGTCGCATCTCGGTAGCGTGCAGGTTGTCCAATGCCATGCGCTTGCCGAAGCAGTTTCCCGCTACCTGAACCCACGGCTCGTTGCAGCCATTCGGAAGCTGTTGTACACCGGCTTCAGTTGACACGTTCGTGCTTGCGCTGTACGAGTAGCAGCCAGCTGCCTTGCTGTTGCAACTGGCTACCAGTATTGGTCGTAATTCGACTTCCTCCAGTGGGAAAATGCTCGGACAATCGACCTTTGAGGGGATGAAGCCGCCGTAGCCGGGAACCGCTGCCTTGGCCCCAGCACGGTTTCGGAAAGGCGTAGTAGATAGGAGAACATATCTCAACGGAAGTATTGATGGTGAGAGAGAGAGAGAGAGAGAGAGAGAGAGAGAGAGAGAGAGAGAGAGAGAGAGAGAGAGAGAGAGCGAGAGGGAGGGGGAGGGGGGGGGCGACAGCAATGAAGGGGTATCGGAAGTGTAATCACTTCACCCTTCCGTACTACAGGACTAGGAGTGGAGAAGGTGATCACTGCATCTCAAGGACATTGCCATGCATCATGCGTTCTGATTCTCATACGGCGCGGATCTCTAGCAAGCTTGGCCGCAGACCCCTGCCCGAATGTCATGCCCCCGCGGGTTGTGGTACACCGAGGCAGTCTGCAGGGACATGGAAGTGCGACGCTCGAGGCAGCATCCGGCGCACTTGCAAGCTCCAACAAAGAAGCTGTGTGATGATTGGAAGCCCTATCAGGACCATGCTTCGGGCAGAACAACTTTTTGCACTCTTCGTAGCAGCCCACACTCATATCTGCGATACCTGCGAGGGCAGCATCCAACCGGCTGGGTTGACGATTGATGCATGGTGAACACAAAACACATCAGGAACTACTTAGAAAAGCAGGTCCAGCTCGACTTGCAACATCCTGCTGTCTGCACCAGCTGTTCATTCTGCATGGCGGTTATCGGTGCGGCAGTGGCAATCTGTCTCTCTTATTGAAGGTTTCGGCAAAGCCTCGTCGAGCAGCGGCTCGCTGGGGCGATGCAGTCTCGCGGAAGCCGTGACATGCCACCCGTGAATCGGAGAGACGGACTCGCATGCAGGCCTGCTCTGCCCCAGCCGCCGCAGATTGGCTGAAAACCTGCCGCGCCCGCCGACAGACATCTGTGCTACAGCGAAACTGCCTGAGCTTGCATAAGCCTGAATACCAGTCTAATTACAGAGAGTCCCAAGCAAGTTTGTCGCCTCATCACCACGAGGATGAATATCAAGAAGACTGCAGTGCAAACCGCGGTCAGGTCTGGCGAAACGGACCTGTATGTGGGATACGTGCGCTCCAAGTGCCGTGCCTTTGACAGACTTGCCTCTAGCCTGACCTGATCTCACGTTGCTTCGAAGCCACGATTGTAACGGATCTTCCTTGCGCAATGGACCTGCAAGAGATGTTGCAGCTGCAGAGCTGAATGCCTCTTAAAACCAGACTCCCACTATATGCAGTGGTAACCAGCGCTCCAATTGCACCTCCTTCTGTCAGAAGGAACTCCGGGGTGACGACGAGGCCTTGCCTGTCGACCATGCTGGCGGCCTCCCGCAAAGGATACACAGAATACTGCGGATCGAAGCGATGTTGGTTGCCTCACGAGCGCTCCGGGGACAGTGACCGACAGCAAAGCCGGTGAGCCCACCTGAGGAGTGGAGCTGCCATCCGCCATGGGATGCAAGAAGTTTTTTCCCATGGGGCCCATGCCTATTCGCCGGCCCACGCGGCAACTTCCGAAGGTGACCAGGCGCTCGGTTTTCAAGCAACACGGCTGCATGCCAGCTCCGAAGCCTGAGCACAGAGCACGTGTGTTAGCTGCTAGGGCCGCATGCCCGGAAAGGGCGTTGAACCATGCTCTGGACTGTGACTCATGCGGTTCAGCCTGGCTCATGCAGAGATCAGAGACTGACTGACAAACCATCAACCATAATGCCTGCAAAAGTCTACTGAGTCGCTGAGTCTACCGGCACGGCGCGGTCAGCACAGTATTGCCATTCCAGTAGTGGAGCAAGTTCTCAGAGTGCCTAAATCTTGGCCAAGCTGCCTATGGAGAAGCAACAGCCCAAGCCTTCGGAGAGCGCCCCCTCGCTGGAGGCCGGCTCTTGTGCTTCCGCGGGACCCATCATTGAGTCCATCCCGAGGGCAGCATGCATCGTTTCGGCTGTAGGGCGATATCAGCTGTCGGCTGTTGTGGGCTTGTGTCAGCACTCTGCTTGTGGGATGGGTCACATTCACTACAAGTGTTGAGCATTGTTTGTTGTACAACAACCATCTAGAAACATCACAGGCTTCACCAAGCTTCCATTGTCCCATACACCTCGAAGCCGTCGTGAAGCAGCATGAAGGCAACATGGGAGCAAGGTCGTCGCGCATTAGAACGTCCTCTCCTCCCCCTGACACCCTGCACCCCATTGCTGCCAGTCCCCTTGGCAGCCTTTGCGTACGGCTCGTCCTTCCCAAGCTTGTGGCCCTTGGTGGTGTTGAGAGAGCCGCCGTCGAAGTTATCTGCCACAGGAGTTGGAGGCCCCCCCCCCACAGGGAACTCTACAGCTCGACTCCTGCTGGAGTGGGGCGCACCATTGCAAGGACAAGAAGTAAGTAATTCTCAAGAAGCCGAAGGCTGACGAAAGCAAAGCGCAGAGAGCGCTTGCGTCCCCCGTCCCGTGTCCGTCCCGTGTCCCTCAGTCTCTCAAAGAGAGCCAGCCCGGCGCGATCGAGACGCCGAATGGGCCGCGTAGTCCTCTGCAGGCGACGAGTACTCCGAAGTGTGTTTTTGCAACACGGCTGGACATCCCCAGCAGCACTTCACCACTCCTCTCTGAAGGCACAGCGCACCCTTGCACCATCTTGTGCACCTTTCGGTCCTCATCAGCGCCACGACGGCTACGTGCCTCAGGCTCAGGTCAAGAAGGGGCGGGTGCAAAGGACAATGGGCCCGCTAAAGCCCGCGTTCCAAGCGGCAGCCTGTGCGACCACCATCGCCTAGCCATGCACTCTGCGAGCTTTCTTTACGAAGCTTGAAATTGCTTTTGCCGGCCACAGAGCCTCGCCGAAGGTCGCCCCAAAGACATTCTCTACCTTGTGTGCTCGAAGGTGTCCCGTGTAGCCTCGCTTGCAAGATGCTCAGTGAGAGCAGCGAGCTTGAAGCAAGAATGGAAGATTCCGATTTCTGACTTCCCGGACCGGGTATCGGCATCGTCTTGCGGGCAACCTGATGACCAGGGTAACAGCAGCTTGGCATGAGTTCGGTAACTGCAGGCAGGCGACCTCGCTAAGAGCTCTGCGCCGCGCATCCCGACCTTGGTCAAAGCTGTAGGCTCTCTCTAGACGAAGCTATCTCCTGCATCGACTCGCAAGGTCCGCAAGGTGATGCGCCAGCGCGATTACTCGGCTCAGAAGTCTTCTGAGAGTCAAACTCACCTGCAGGTGCGGCGGCGGTGCCTGATTTGACGAAAGCTGTGGGCTGGCGAGGCGAAAAGACAAGCATTGTCATGTTGACGTTGATCTCCCCCTCCCCCGGCCCTCTGGCTCTCTGGTGCCCAGACCCTCACACCCTTTGCTCAGTCTGGTAGCGCTTGATGCCGTAGGCATATCCGCAAGCAACATAACACATGAGTAAGAAGCCTTTTGCTTAAAACATACTACAACCTTGTCACCGCAAAAATGTGCCATGGTGTTCCCAAAACCCCCAATTCTTTGGAGTGGCTGCGACATCCCCTGAAGTGGACCGAGGTCGGTCAGGGTCTTGCTTTCTGACAGCTGCGGGCGCCGAGATTTCGTTTGCTCAGAAACCAAATTCTGAAATATTCTGACGTTTTACGAATACCAGCTATTGAATTGTTCTATTGCTACAATCAAAACACGCAGGCACAAGCCACCTTGGAAAGTCTTGGTTACATCTCTACGCATGCCGCTCCATGAAGCGAACACTTCCGGTAACGCAGCACTTGAAGGTTCCGGTGCTTCCTGCCGTATCCACTTCTCCAAAGGCTCCTTGACCCAGCCCCTGCTGCCGACTGGAGACAACAAACAAATGCTCGTGCTGCCCGGGTGCGATGGTCAAACCAGCTCTGTTTTGAGGTATCGTCATTGAAGCCCTGCATGAGTACAGCAGTGAAATTGCTGATGCTGCAAGGCTGATCGTCGCAGGCTTGGGACTGAAGACTTTGACGGCTCAGGAAAGCTGGTTCGCCCAGCCTTCGGTGCACTGCACGGCTTGGCCGAGAGGCACCGTGGGCTTTGAGTGCCGCAGCTGCAGATGCAGTCTCCCGTGCCTGGTTCCTAGGACCTTGCAAGGATCACGAACCACCAGGCCGAAACCATCCGAAACCCTTTAATCCTCATGGTATGCTTCCCGGGCAGGCGGGATGGCCCCTGAAAACCTGATGGCCTGGCCGCCTCTACCACGCAGCTTAGCTTGAGAATCGTGCTTTCGGGGCCACCATGGTTGCTGAGGTCCCATGGCCTGGCGGAGTACACTTGGAGCTTGAAATCAATGTAAGCCTGACCCAAGCCCACGCTAGATTCTATTTCGCTCACATTTAGCTTCATTCTGCAAGCTGGTCGGTATCCAACATCAGCCTAGATTGGACTAAACCGAGCGTTGACAGTGCAAGGACAGATCGCCATGATACATAGCTCTGCACGCAGGGGACCACTTTTGGAGCTTGGCTTCTTGCCTTTGGCATGCTGCGGCGCCGACACCGCTGGTCTGCGCCACTCGCTTCCTCGAGGAAGGTGTTCCCCACGCTGATGTGAAATTCTGGACCGATTCGGAATAACTTTCAGCACGCCACGCGCTGTCTAGCTTCAAAACACCGGGCGTGAATGTTGCCTTGGCAGCTGGGCTCCTGCGAGCTCCGTTAATTTTCAGGCCTAGTCCCTGCACATCAGCATGCAGAAATGCAAGCTTTGGACCCAACGCCCTGGTGCTGGCATCGAGCAAGGAAGGTCGTCGGTACTACTGCCAAGGTGCTTGCATTATTGCTTCTCAGACCACTTGATTTCTGACGTCCCTAGGAGCTGAAGCGGGGGAAGGGGAGTTATCTTGGACTCTTCGAGAGCCCTAAGTCGGTAATGTTCTGTCAGAAGCCTTTCGTTGACACGATGCCATACACCAATTCAAGTGCTGTAGTCGAGATGATGGCTGCGCCGCAGTGCGCACCGCACATCGTCCTTTGCCAGAGTCCGTGGGTGGTCAACACATGCACCGAGTTCGACAAATTTGGCGCAAAGTCCGCGGATGCGGAGATAGAGAATTTGAGAACGTCTGCTGCGACCCTTAGGGTGTCGGCAGTCGATCCCTGATTTGTCTAAGTCAGGGTGGCTGGGAAAACCGACGATCACGAACTTTGGATCAGATCTGTGGAGGGGGGATCCCTGGTCCCTGCACATCAGACATCAGCATCTGCCATCGCAGCTCATATCTGCAGCTTGTACCGCTGGCTGCCGACTTCATCCTGCTACAATCAGAAACGCATCAACAGCCCAAAGCAGACAGCAAATGAACCGGAGATCTGAGCAGAAAGCCAAGGCTGCCGGAAGGTCATCGGGGTTGCTCATGATGGTCTGAAGCCTAGCCCCCTGGGGTCTAGGCCTATCGTCTGGTCTAGCCACTCTGTCGACGTGCGACAGCTGCTTTGTCATCAGCCAGGGTGTAGAGAGAGACCATAGTGCCATAGTCATGGTGTCTCTTCACGACATTCAAGTCACAAGTCCTCCTGAGCCCGTGGAAGGACAGAATCCAGCGAAAGGAAGCCTTGGACGAGTCAGCGGCTCAAAAGATCCATGAGCAAATTTGCTGCAAAGGCCAGGGCCCCAGCCGTCGGATATTTGACTCAGCTCCGATCTGGACTTTCGGAGGCCACCTACAGGTCCCAGAATCCCTCGCAATCTCCACCCTCTCGCAACTTCGTAGAGAGAGCAGAGCTCGAGACTACCCAGGCAAATTCCATCAGTTCCATCCTTACACAAAGACACGACTCGAGTAGTCCTGCACGCAGCGGCTTCGACGGCGTTGCATCGATACCCCTGGCACCTGCGCAACACAGGGATACACACAAGCAATCTGCTCCTGGACCCTGCAATCTGGCGGCAGTCCTTCTGATGGGATTGCGACCACAAGGCCCTGGCTGTTGCTCCTGCAAAGCAAAATGTGCTGCTATGCCCTCTGCATCGACAACATCTCTTCCGTTGCTGTCGCAAGCCCCAAAGCAAGGCGTGGTTGTGCGTTCCTGTCGATACCACCAACTACTCATATTCTGTGATACAACATCTGCTTTTTCATGGAACCAACTCATGGGATAGATTACTACCAGTCGTCGGAGTTGTGTCCCGAGCAAGGATTTTCGGGAGTGGCTTGGAAAACACATGATGACATGAGTTCGGTGCTTGGCCAGGGTATGTGGCAGCTGGAATGCTGAGCTACCGCAATGCGCGCGGCTGTACCGACAGCTCCGGCTCTCGGCGCACATCCTCATAGCCGTGACGACGACATGTTGAGCCTCGACTCCTGCCTTTGAGCTCGGAGCGGTGTAAAACTGCTTGAATCAGTCAGTACATATGCCGCAAGAGTGAAAAGTCAAGACCTGCCAAGCCGGCCCCTCAACCTGCTCAGCGGACTTACACTTTTTGTCGAATCTGTACCGAACATACTATGGTAGAACGCAATAGCAGCGCAGCAGCAGCGGCGAATCTAGCAGGCATTTACGAGGCAAGATGCAAGCTGTGGCAACACCAACTTACTCCGATTGTGAAAGTGCTTGTGTACTGCCGGCATCACGAGACACTCCTTTCGGACAGCGACGCGTTGCTGTGCGAGGCGAACATCGTTGGATCGCTCGCCCCAGCCTGATTATTGCAGGAATCGTCATCGCACACCAGAGCTTCTTCGCGGGAAAGGCCACAGATTCGAGGGCTGGCTAATTGGAGGTGAATGGCCAACATCATTGCAACCAGCGAAGATAGCAATCCACGAAAGAAGGGACAGTCTCCCGCGAGCCGCGCGAAGGTCCCTCAACTTTGTGGCTTCGACGAGATTTTGAATACCTACGGGACCCTAAGCTTGGGCAGCGGCCTGCGACACCGGCGTTGCAACGATGCTGCTCATCCTGAAGGTGTGCCGAGCAATCATCATTCGATTACGCGAAGACTAAGACATGTCATCTTATTCACTAGCTGACAAAACATCCGCTGAATAGGCTCAGCGGCCCCCGCAGATGCCTCTTCGGTTGGGCTTTGAGCTAGCTTTGTAACCAGGCTTAGAGACTCTTAGAAAAACCCAAGATGGAATCGCCACCGAAATCCACTAAGATTAAGCCATAAGAAATGCACATGAGCGGCTAGCCCTCATCCCGGCCGAAGACCAGCCAACCCTAGCCTTCCAAAAAGCAAGGCCCGTGAACGGAATATTTGACGCGGTCCAAAGCTGTCTCTTTCGCCTTCCCCGAACCACCACCATCACGATTAATGAAACTAACATACTACTGTCTCTGCTACTGCTACTGCCAGTGCTACTACACCACTACACCTACTCCTACTCGTACTACTACTCCTACTACTACTACTACTACTACTACTGCTGCTACTACTACTACTACTACTGCTACTACTGCTACTGCTACTGCTACTGCTACTGCTACTGCTACTACTACTGCTACTACTACTACTACTACTACTACTACTACTACTACTACTACTACCACAACTACGACTGCAACGACCACAACTACTACGACTACAACTACTGCCGCTACTACTCCAACTACTCCTACTACTACTCCTACTACCACCGGCCCCCTCTGGCTGTTAATGAGCTCCTAGCATCGCATCTTGGTACTGTTCGAGCGTCGGACCTCACGCAGATCCTTCCTCATACTTTGAGCCAAGGTGCCTGTCGTTTGAGCGGAACCTTGGTCGAATTTGGTCGAGCTACCGAAGTATTCATGAATGATGCCATCAGGATTGGCTACCGTCGACCAACACTTGTCCGCACACTCGTTGGACTTGGACTTAGACTTTAAGAACAGGAGCCTTATCGCACGATCCCTCAGCATCGATGCGACCATCTCCTGCGAGGAGCCAGCTTTCAATGGGGGCTTGCGGGGGGCGCTTGGGATCAGCTGAAGTCGTAGTAGAAGCACGAGGGAACCCGATTGTCATTGGCCTTGGACTTTCGTCGCCCCTCTGCCTGGAGCTGCTCTTGCCGGCGCTGGAAGGTGGAGAGCTCGGCGACTAACGTGTGCAGGTCAATGCCTAGCTTCTTTGCTCAACGGGCCCTGGGGGGAGAAAGCTATTCGAGGCTTCAAACCGGATGAAAGTCGACAGCACCGGTCACGCGACCTTCACTAATTGCAGAAAAGTGGCCGGTAGCAGTACCTGGCCAAAGGCCCGGAGGATGAAAGGGTTCATATCAGGTCAGACAGGACACTCTGTGCAGTTGACTGGTCGTGGTAATGCCGTGAGCGGAAACCGATTAGCCCAGAGTCCTGTGGCTTCATTGTGTTTTGCTCGGTCATCTTGCACAGAACGTGTGCGCGTGGTACCTTTTCTTCAAATCACACTACCATGACTGAAAACTTGATTCGCGAAGGGGTGGGACGATGCAGCAGTGGATGTGGGTGGGTTGTGGAGCTGTAGCACAGCGGAGCTCTGTGATGCTCTGTGCACAAATAATTTGCAGCCGTTCTGCGGGCGCTTAAATCCTTTTTGAGCGCACTTCGGAAATCGTTCCTGGCGGCAGCCACAGTAGATGCATGAAGTGTTCCTCTTCGAGTCGTTCTGCCATATTGTGACTTCCGTCAAACCTGCAGTTGCTCGCTTGTTGTGGCTTCACTGTTGCTTTCCTGCGCTCTCTCGTGAAATCCATGATGTCTTGCCACTGCTGCTGTATCCTCTGGTACCAGTACAACCCCCGGTTGAATAGTTTGTTTCCCAGGCTCTGGCCCTCCTGAGTCTCTGTCTTCCCTCGGCTTTCTCGTAGCTGCGTCGTTAAGGCGGTTGCACCAGACCGCCGCCCCGGGTCCCTGCGAAACCGAAACTTTAAAACTCACTTGGCCCAAGCCTTTGCCCATGTTGATCCCTGTGGAAGCGGAGCAGAGCCACGCAGGCCTTTCATGCGCATGCAGCCAGAAACAAACTGTGTGATCTCGATCTCCCGCTGGTTCGTCATGACCATCAAGTTCCTGGGTCGGACAGCAGAACTGGGTGTTACTGTCACTCCGACAGCGACAGTTGGCAATGATAACGATAGAGTTCAAGAGCGTTTGAGAGTGCAACTCATACGGGGAGATGCCGATGAAAGCAGAACTACGAATGCCTCGTTCAAAAATCTGTGCAACATGAGGTCTCGACCGTAACCTGCTGACCAGTGCAGTCCGTCAAATCTCTCTCTCTCTCTCTCTCTCTGTCTCTCTCTGTCTCTGTCTGCGGACAAGGATACTTGAAGAATTTCTTGGAATCGAAGATGTCAAGACCCAGGGAAGCCATGTTCCGGTAGCCATTTTCCTCAGATTTGGTTGATGCGAATCTGCAACGAAGCTTGAATCATCGAACAAGTCTGCATGCTAGAGTTGCAGTGCTCCCACCGAAGCTGGGGTCGCCACGAACTGCAGGAAGTCATGGAATTCAACCCAGGAGATCTGCCAACGGAGGTCACGGCTTAAGTGAAAGGAAGAATCTCGCTGCAAAAGCAGGCAGTAAGGCCATGTAAGGCCTAGTAGGTCTTACCGGAGGCCGGCATTGCATTCTAAATCAGCTCGGCCTTGCCATCTCCATCCGCATCGATGATGCGACAGGTGTCTCGCAAGCGCTCTGCCTGCGCTCAAGAAGCATTCTGGCCATGCAGATTGATCCATCTTGATCAGTCGGGAAGATGCCGCGATACAAGCTCAGCAGTTGCATCAGTGCACCTCTGTCCTCTCCTTCTTTTTCTGCTCCGCCAGGGCCAACTCCCGATCGGCTGCAGACACCTCCGACATGGCCATCCGGTGATCTGCAAAAGTACTGGATGATGGCTTGAATATCAATATGATCACTCCAGGGCACTTTCATTGCATGATCCACGAAGACCTGAGCAGAGGGCATGCAAAGCGGCGGGATAGCTTGGGCTCCGTTGGTGCCTGACCAGTCTACACGAGTGGGGTCGACATCAACAAGTACATGCATTTGCACGTATGCGGTGTGTGTGTGTGTGTGTTGGTTGTGTGTTGTGTGTTGTGTGTTGTGTGGTGTGTTGTGTGTTGTGTGTTGTGTGTTGTGTGTGTGTGGGGGGGGGGAGGGGGGGGGGTGGTTTGTTCTTTTCTCTCTTTGTGTGCGCATATGAATTTTGTTGATTGTGGCGATTTGCGACTAATAATTACACCGTTTCCAGGATGCGTGATGTAGGCGAGTATCTACAACTGTTACCGAGGAAGGCGCGAGTCAGGGACTTAGATGAGAACCTTGCGCCGCGCGCTGCGCACCCCTCAGGCCATTTCCAGGATCTGTGCATGCCGCAGCCACCATGATCGAACGAATCCTGTGAGCAATCCTTGCTGCCAAGGTGCGCCCGTCAGGACGTTAAAGACCGCAAACTCGAAAAATGCCACCTTCCCGCAAGTAGACAAGAGCATCGATCGACGAGCTCCGTCCACTATCGTCCACTGCAAGCAAAAGCGTTTGACCAAACCGCTATCAGGCTTGAAAGGAGCACTGAACACCCACGACAACGCAGCTAAGACGCATAGAAGAGGAAGGCAACAGCGCCCATCTCGCCAGTGTATTCCTTTGTCATGGAGGTGGATTCCCCTCTACTTCAGATATCTGAAAGCCGTTGACTCCAAGTGGCTAGCAGCTCATAAGGATTTCTCCAGTCCACTCCACCAGTGCACGCCCTAAGCTGCAGCATTTTTGGTCGGGGCAAAACAAGAGTGTGAAGCTCTGAAGAGAATTCCATAGCTGAGGAGAGGGTCTATGATTGCCAGCTGCACGCGAACAGAGCTGTCAACAGTCGTCTGCCACAAACCTAGCTTCTCGCGGCCTAGCTGCTGGTATAGAGTCGCCATGGTCGCCTGCACCTGCAGTTCAGATTCGGGCAAAGGCTTGAGGTCTGCCTGATGAAGTGGCAGTGAAGGGGGACGAATACAGAGGCAAGTCCGATTTCGCTGCCCGAAGCGGATTCCACCACGCCTGAGAGAAAGCTGACTGAGCCTCCTTGGTCTGCAATCCAAGGAGCTGAGCCGAAGTAGTAAAGGAAGTCCTCTTTGACGAGGCCATCCACATCCTCCCATCATAGGCATAAGCCAGTCAGCTTTCACATGCAAACTTGCAGCTTCATTTGATGACCATAGAAACCAGAAGCCTTCTCGACGATGTGCTCAGTGACCAACCTTTGTGGAGACATCTTTGCTCGACAACGGCCCCCTGTTCGTGTTTGAAAACTGCCCACTGACAGCTCTCGGAAGTGTTGATCTGGCGAAGGCTTCGTGGAGGAGCAACCGCCCTGCACCCCTGACTGACCAAAACACACCGATTGAAACTAACTAAGCCAGACGTATAATGTATATGTTCCCGTCCGATGACTGATGGAGTGTGCATGTCCGCACTGCAGTCCTACCCTTCCCAAACATTTACGTACCTGTAACAAGCTTGTAATTGAGAAACTCGTCGCCTCTCTTCGGTAACGATGGTTCCTGCAACACATGCTCCAAAGCTGTGTGACCGCAAAGCTTTTTCCAGCAGAGATAACCTGCGTTGTTCATTTTTCGCTCCAGCCTCATGAACGAACTGTCTGTCTGCCTGCGCACTTGTATGAACTGGCACGTGCAAAAGTACCGGCCCGTACATACATGACCAACATTGTTTTGCGTCTGCATGACGACGCGAAATGATGCGAAGTTCTGATCTGTCGATCTATCTGTCTGGCTACATGTCTTTCCCTGGAGGTATCCATATCCTTACATACCAGGATTGACCTGTAGATTCAGCGAACGGCAAATACCGGCATCGAGTAGCTGCACAATCAGCAGTGAGAACACCAGAATGACAAAGAAGATGAGCACCAAACACCTCTGCTGCAACCGGGGGCTGCTTCGTGTAGTCTTCACCAAGAGAAGTGATTGCTGGCATCATCGCCAGCAGCACATGTGGAAGCATACGAGCTTATGGAAACAGCACATCAAGAACACTTCCTAATTGCAAAGCAGCAGACCTCTTATCTTTCATGGGGCGGAGCAGTGACTCATGTCCAGTCAGGTCTACAATATCTACACCTGTAGTCCAAGCCAAGCGGCCAGAAAAGAGAACTGAAGGACCAGACAATTGAGAACAGCATGCACCGCAGATCTCGGAATACCCGGATGACCCGGACAAGCCTTCGGAGCAGGTAATGGAAAAACGTCTGCGATGTTTGCTAGTCATGAAGGTCTTTTGAAGTAGCAGCGTGCGATAGCCCGCGTGAGTGCCATCGAGAATCGAGACTGTCTGCATGCTTTCAGAAGCTTGGAAGTATGCTGTGAGTCAACATCTTTCTCAAGCGTTGCAAGCTGCAGCAACACCTACGGTTGCTTCGTCCTTCGCACCACACTACACTACATACGCCCAATCTGCTCAGCTGTGTCACACGATTGCGGATTTTACGCGAGGCCCACCTGAGGATGCGCGACACCTTGACCACTCTCAAGGACCTGGCACGAACGCTGCCGGGCATCACAAAACGAACAAAGGTGGTTTAAAATCCCATCTTGTCTGCCTCATGAAGTTCATGTTGGCGGAATGTCCGTCATCGTACCTGTCGCCGCAAGAAGCCGCGCTACCCCACTCCTACAGTCCTGCACTTCTCAGCTACTGTCGTCATTCGGACACTGTCACTGAGTCACTCTACGTACGCAGGCAAGCCTTCCCGTGTTCAACGAAGCGACAGACTTCAAAGGCAAACTGCGCAGAAGAAGGTGTCCAAGGCGCTGCAAGGAGACGACCAGGTCGTACGTCGCGAGTATTACCAGTATCAAGTCGAAGACGTTCCAAGGAGCCTCCTGCCGAAGTGAGGACATGATTGCGATGACAATAGAAGCATGTCGCAAGATCCCGCGAGAAGGAGATGTCGGCAGCAACGCAAGACACGTTCAGTCCTAGCACTTGGCCGCAAAATGTCGCAAACGATGTCACCTGCAAGACCACTCCTCGTTCCAGAAGAAGTAGGCTTTGTGGACACGGATCTTCAGGCCAGACTCAACAAGGTACACCGCACCTCGTCTGTTGTCGCACGGTCGCACTGCATCATGCATAATATATTCTCCAACAACTGCAACACAAGACGACACCTGGGCACAAAAAAAGGGTGATCCCCAGATCGTTCTAGGGCGAGGGGCGAGACATGATGTTGGAGACGACTTGTACAGTTTCAGCTTCGGCCCTCGAATCCCACGAATCAATTGCTTCTAAAGCTGGCCCAACACCAAGTGATCGTTGTTGTTGGTCGACAGCAACCTGCTTAGTAGCAGCGTTTCTTGCGGCTCCAAGGTTAGCTTTCGGAGGCAAAGGGAAACACACAAGGATTCGGTCTTCAGAGACTTGAGAAACCGCCGATTAGCGCCCGTCTGCTCATTTCGGCACCTCACCGGGATGCTCGGGCCCACAGTCCGCGAAACTGAAAAGGAGGCCCTTCCAGAAAACTTCCCTCAAAGACAAACACCAAGCAGGCGCGCACACATTCTGTAGTGCTTCTACGGTTATAGTTGCCCAAGATCAGCCGAGGATCAGAAAAAGATATCTAGACCTGACACTGCCTCGGTGCAAGACAGCCGCTCGCACGGTGTCCAGTCGACATGCTTCGCGGGCTTAGCAGACCACACCCGGCGCTCAGGGCAAAGACCGGGGCAGGGGTGCACAGAGCGTGCAAGTCTAGGCTCTTCTAGGCTGCAGTTCCAAGTGCATATGGAACGTCGAAGGATTCGTTCTCCAGTGTCCAATTAGCCGTGTACAGAATGACGAGCACATTCCTCGGTGCACATGAGCAGGCGCTTCCAAGTACTACCCTTTCCGCGCGAATCTCAAGCCTCTATGGCAATGGTTTCACATGGATGTTCAATGATGACGGTGCCATGTCCCGCCGACACTACGCTGCCGAGTCTCGCAAGGATCACCAGCGTGCAGAAAGAGCCTGCTGCGGGCACATTATGACACTGCCCTGATCATGCGCGTGTTGAGCCAGCACCAAGCACAACAACCAGCAGCCAAATTAGGGCGGCTGAATAGACTCGACTCTTCTGGATGTGGCACGCTGCATGTTGGGGCATCAGATCAAAAGGAGCGGTTTCCTGTGCTCCTGTGCTTTCGGAAGCTATCCTTAAAGAATGCATCCACAATCTGAACTGCAAGCGAGGCTCAGAATAGGGTGCTGTTAAGGATGGCTTGACAACAGCCGCGTCTTTCCTTGGGTGTTGGGGTTCGAGGGGTGCAAGGCGGATCTTCTCGGCCTAAGGACTTCAGACTGAGGCTGTCACGGGTTCATGCAGGCCTCGGATGCGAGGCCGGCAGTAAGCAGCAACAACACTTTGCATAAGTCTATTTTGAGATGGGCTGTTTGCCTACAGGGCCTACCGGCTTCCCTTTTCTTGTGTGGCGCTTTGTAAGGCCGGCTGATGGCTGGAAGTGGAAACTCCTTGTCTCCCAGGCGCTGCAGAGCCAACGGGTCCAAGAGATGATAGACTGCAATATCCTGCAGAATTCGACGGACGCTCCCTTCCAAGTTTGGTCGCCGAAACCGTTAAGCATCTCTCTGCCTACGGATGAGTCTACACGATGCACGCTCGTGGTCCTTGGTCCCCAGGGAATGCGGTTGAACCATCGCCTGAGCCTGCAGACTCAAGTTACGCAACGCTGAGGCAGTCCGGAGTACCGACCGAAAGCCGCCTGTGGCTGCTTTCCATGGCAAACAAGACGTTCTCCATGGCCGAGGTCCTGCTGCGCTCGTGGCGACGTATCAAAACCCCATTCAACATTCCTCCAGCTCCGCCAAGCTCCGCATGAGGGCCCAGTCCTCTTCTCGAACTCGCGGACAGAATGAAGCCGCTCATTATCTTCCTCGGAAGAGACGGTGCCTCAGAATCACATGCAGGGTCGTCAAAGTTGGAGTTGGAGCTCCGAAAGAGGGCTCGCCTCGGATTGTGCCAAGCTGCTTTTTCCTCGAGAGTGCGTGCTGCCAATCCTTCTGTGGCTGGTGCTCTGGGAATGGCTCACCTGTGCCGATGGCGATCACGAGCTAGGAAGTTTGCCACACGGCCAGCAGCTTTCCATCGCGCTGCCAGCAAGCTAAATTGATGAAACGGGCATGTCGTGAACTCCGATGCAGCTTTTCGACCTTTCTTGTCGCCTTACAGAATGCACACGAACGGCCTCGCTCTCCTCGTCTCCAACGAACTGCTTCATTCCTCAAGCTGATCCCGTCGTTGCGCTAACACAAGACTCGCAGGTGTGCGTGTGTGTGTGTGTGGGGGGGACCGAATGAAACCTCCAGCACGTGCTCACAGACCCCACCAGAAGGCTCAAAGCCAAGGAGCGCGTCGCTGCTTCCGTGGCGAAGTCTTCGAAAACCATCATCTTCTCAGACCTGTCGAGTGCCGACCTGGTCCTCCCTGTGAGAATCGCTGCGAAGCATGCTGCAACTGCTGCAACTGCGTCTGCACATGGGTGCTTCAGGCTACTGCATTTCTGTGCTGAGGCTGACTCTAAAGAACCTGGGCACTGGAGCCATGCTCCCGCACTTCCACACTTCCGAGCATTTCAGGCCTGATCGGCTGCAGCTGCACAGCCGAGCCGGTCTGAGGGTGACTTTCTTCAGATCTGCTCGGCGAGGAGTCCGAGAACTTAGCATCACACCAGGGGAGTTGTTGCAGCATGCCCGCAGGCAACTGAGTAGCATCCAAAGGATCCCTTTGCCGTGAAGCAGACATCCACATGGTGTATCGTGTGTTAGGTGATGCAAGGTAGGCAGCCGACACCGGAGAGCTTCTCGTCCACATGCTGGCCTTGCCAAGCACACAAAGGAATCCCAAGCCTCCACTCCACTAGTCCGCAAAGCCCACACACTTGCGCCGCCAAGCAGCGGGGCATCCGCTGCAGCAGCTGTTCAACAAAGGCATCCTCGACAAGGCATGCCAAAGCAACGTCGAGACGTCCCGGCACCACCCCCTCACCCACTTGCTCGAAGTTCTGAAAGTTTCGGTCAGATGTCCGCTATTCTTCTGCGCACTTGCACGCCGGACACCTCCACCAGCTGCTATGTTATCGGTGCGCTTGTGTCCGATCGTTTTGCTTGAATGCGGTTGCCATCAAACCTGACAGCCGCACCGAGGGCGGCACATAAACTGTAATTAGGTGTAAGAATCCCAGATTTCGCCAATCACAGATTATGTGCAGCTTACATATCCGAGCATTTTGGAAGCCACGCGCCCTTGTCTTCCATTGTTTTGCGGGCATTGCCTTCCTGGCTCCTCTTTGATACCAGCTCAAGCGGGGTTAAAACGGCTACAAGTAAGAAGGTTGAGGCGACAAACTTTCAAATTTACATCAGCAGATCGATGCAGCAGGACTGTGACTTCGATCCAGGACCGCAAGCTGTCCCGCTAGAGCAACCAGGACTGGCGTCCAGGGTCCAGCTAAGGCAGCTAAGAGTCACCCGCCTAATCCATGTACGTTGCACACATCAATAACATTCTGAAGTCAGAATGCCCGTTGGCTCCCGTCCTGCTCCGCTTGTCGCTGTGCCAAGAAGCCGGACCACTCCTCGCACGGGCAAGAGACCCCAGAGGCTGACACACATCACAGAGCAGAGCATCCTCGCGGAGTATGACCCACTGCTGACCTCATCTTCTTGATTGAGGGAAGCGCACGGGGAGAACATCCACAGAACTGCCGCTGATCGAAGCTGGGGATTTGACGGAGCTCCATCGTCGCCTTCCGAGGACTGGCGACCTGGCACAAGACTATCAGACGCAGCAAAAGCTTAAGCACGACACGAGCAACATCATGGTCCATGCCTACTGATGACATGCTGGATATGGCAAAAACACTACAACAACATTACCAGGAAGGTCAAACAATACGAACAGCCATTCACGACGGGCGCCAGATCAACACCTGATCCAATCGAAAATCTCGACTCCTGTCTGGCCACGGTGTCACAAGTTTCACACCGTCACTTCTCACCCCGCCAGCACCTGGCTGCCGTCATCGTTGCCGCCGTTCTCGGTCAGATGGGAACTACTGAAACGGGGGATTAGGGGCGAAGTTCAAAGCCTACGTCAGTGTAAGTCTGTGAAGCCTAGGCCTGAGCTCGACACATTCCCCTTTAGCTGAACTGTCGAGCCCCTGTATCCCGTTCGGCGGCCAGGAAGTTTCTCTTCCCACGACTGTACTTATCTACTTATCACTTATCGATAGAACCTTGCGGCGTTTCTGGCCCCCGTGTGCCACGGCATTCCATCGATCCCTACCGCATCTTGCCGACAGTGATCCTGCTTAGCAATCCTCGCACAGATGCTGAAAACAATGGTTTTGTCAGCATGCGGTGTCAATGCCACAGGAAACCATTACTGGACATTCCACCACACTCCTATGCAAGTTGACAATGGCGGGTCTGTCTCGTCAAGGATACTAAGGACAGGCTGCAGGCTCTTGAGGCTCTGTGCACCCGGCGAGACTGGGTCTCCTTTTCCCGGGGTCGCTGCCTGGACTCGCAGTGGCATCCAAAGACAGGTGATGGGTTGGGCCCTGCGGTACCAGGGTGGCTTGGTGTCTTGGATCCCCACGAGTGTGAGAAGCATTCCCGTCGCTATCCAGCGCAAAGCGTATTGCCATGCTGCTGAGCGGGGTGCACAGGGACAAGAAGCTCACGTGTGATGCAAGGTGGTACTGCGACTCTCGATGCTCACTTCAAAAGGGGGGGCAGACTTGAGAGGTGTTTGGTCGATCGTCTGGCTCAACTTAGGTGCTTCCTATGTCACTCTTACATGATGTAACGGTCGGGATGGATGTTTGGATTTCAAGTCTTCAGTGGTATCTGCTAACAAATACTTGGCATGGATGCAGCAAAAGGCGGCAAAGCATACCATGCTCCAGATCAAGCAGGGAGAGGGCACTTGCTGGGCAAGCTGACAAATAGCCTTCGATCGATCCCTGGTAAACTCTTCGATCAATGCTTGTTAGGGTCACACTGACCGCTGCAACCTTAGTGTCGCACCCGATGCGACGACTTTGACAAAGCTGCCTGGTTGCACGCATTTACACACGCCTTCGAGACCAAGCCAACTCGAGGTCCAACCCTGCATCCCGGTTCGAGAGCACAGGGCCGCAAGAGAGTGACATCCAGGCATGGACCGAGCTCCGCGACTAGTATCTTCAGCTCCTTTTCAGTGAACCATCGCATCAAGCACGAGAAAAGGAGATAGGGTTCCACACAGCCTTAACTCGTGTAGGAGATCGACGACGACTCTGCAGAACCTTCTGATTCAGTTCCTCGGATTGATTAAGAACTCTGGATTGCCGGGCCTTCAACACATGTTCGGTGGTTTATCTGAAGCGATCTGAAACACTTTCTAAACGGTTGCGAAGTGACCCGATGAGCGGACCATGACCCAGAATTACGCTCAGCATCTCGCTATGATGCCCTTCTTGGGTGTCACAGGAGAAGTGTGAAATGATGACATACAGAGGCGCTTCCAAAGCCCTGGCGGAAGCTGCCAGAGGGGCACCTTGGGTGCCCGATTATTGTCGTGTTCCACGATGTGTGCAATGGAGCAGGCCGGATCTTAGCAGCCAGCAGCTGAGCTCAGCCACTTCCGCTGCACGAAGCGATGATAGATGCACTTGGGAGGTATTTGTCTCTTGTCCATCACCTCCCGTATAGATGGGCACGCGATATAGGCTATAGGGACTGGGGACTTGTGCCCTCTGCTGTCAGGAAATTTTGAACGAGTTTCACCAAAGATGTCTATGTCCGCTCCATATTACGCGCAAACTTGCGCACATAACCGAAAAGACTGCAAGAGTGTGCTTCTGCCTCTTGTTGACCCTCACGGTCATCAATGAACTATTTTCTGTGGGTGAGACATTCCTTCCGAGTCAGTTCACGCGCACCTCAGCACAAACTTTGAAACACGTGACAGCACTTGGACTGTGTCAGCCTCAAGTCGTTGGCTGATTGGCGCGACGTTCGGGCCCAGACGGCTGCAAACTGTTGAGGATCCAGTCCATGAACTCAACACCGGCCACCTGGCAAAGAGAGGCTCAGTGACGGTCCTTTACGAAGGTACAGCGACATTCCCATGACCAGGTGTAGAAAACTTCGCCTTAGGTAGCGTAGAAATGAGACTCTCACTGCTACTTCTAGACCTATGTAACTCTATCTAGCCTGCTGATATCCGCTGATGTCCACACACTCCACTAAGATTTCATCCGTACCCATCAGCCCGACGTGCCCTAAACCCAAAACTCTCAACCAAATCCGCCAGTAGGTAGCGGACTAGACCGGAAGCGCTTTTGGGCGTCGCGTTCAGCAGCTGGTCGATCTCCTGAAAGTAGAAAGCAACTCCAAGTTGGCAACTGCACGGCCCCCTGGCTGCTGCTGCTGTCTCTGAATTCTTCTTTGTCCCTGCTGCCGCTCCTGCCTCTTGCCTACCACTACTACGACGACGACGCCTACTAAGTACTAGAAACCGCAATCTACAACCTACTACCCACTACCTACTACTATTGTTTCCAACTTCCACGACCATGACTGCGACTACCACTACGACTACTGCTGCTGCTGCTGCCCTTCTCCTCCTCCTTGCTCCTGCTCCTGCTGCTGCTACTACCACCACTACGACGACAACGACGGCTACGACTACTATTACCACCTCACTACTACTGGTACTACTACTCAAGCACTGTGCAAGAAACATTTGCTCAAGAACTTCGGCAACACGATTGCTAACGTCAAGGAAATACCAAAAAGTGAAACGTATCGATCCCCTCAAACATGCCCAAAACAAGACGTGCATAAAAAGAACAACGTGCACATTGCTACGTTTCCAACTTCCTCGACCGCCTAGGGCCTGAGGACCTGGGGACGTAGTTCTGTAGGTGCTTGACCCACCTCCTACACGAGGACCTGCCCTGCTCAAGCTCCCGGGACGAAATGAACGGTATGCGACGGTTGGACCGGCATGTAAAAACTCAACAGACTCCAAGACGGACTTCAAGCGCACATTTGCTTGTCCAGTGCATTGGCTTCCTTCTCCTTAAGCGTCGGGTCGATGCATTGCAGGAACTTGCGCAAGTCCTGTGCTTGCAAACGCGAAATGGTGAAGCAAAGCGGTTGCCCAAACCGGGTCGGGAGCACCTCCACCTTCAGGACGCCCTCAGGGCCTAGGGCTCGCTGGAAGGTCCTGGCAACTTTGCAGGAACTTCCCTACGTAGCCTTGTACAGTAGCTCCCAAGGCATCAGCTGGGGGTTGTTGGTCTGGTTTTTGGCATCAGCACGGAAACCGTCGAGTACATCCAGGTAGCAGCATTTCATTATCAAGTCGAGAACAGGCTGGTTCTGGTGATGAGTGATGGGTCCAGATCTGGCGGGAACGCTGGACTGCCATGTCTGCTGACATCACCGAGACATCGTGCCGAAATTCACAGGTCTCCCGTGGCAGACTGGTCTAAGCAGCGAGCCCTTTGACATCCTCCCTCGTCTTTGCCTTGTCCGGAAGCGTTTCACGGCATGTTATCGGTCGCAGGGAAATTTGTATCAGCTTTGTAGATGCACGAGCACAGCTTGCCGCCAAGACACAAGCAAGGTGGCGCCAATTCGTTTTGCTCCGAGCTTGACACAGTCTGCCTGTCAAGTTGATCCTCATAGAGGCACAGCTAAGGCTGCAGTCTGCGTCCAGCCAGCAAACTCCAAGTAGAGAACGGTGACAGAAACCTCCGTTCGAGTTTTTTGGCCTGCAGATCGCCCTCGCCGTTGCTCGGGGCCAGCAGGAAACGTGCGGCGGCTGCTCCCAGCAACTGCCAAAGAGCTCCATAGGAACAAACGCGGAACGCTGCTACGCTGCTACCCGCGCACGATCCGGGCCTGCACCGTTGCCTGCAAGTCTCCTGCATCAAACCGGCGGGTCCTCTCTGATTGAACGTCACGACGTCCCTGTCCTTCCCGAAGCGTCGGAAGCAGCTTCTGCTCGATTTGGGAGACCTCTGGTCCGGTCCGGTCTCCGGAAGCTTTAAGTCCAAGCATCGCCGAGCCACGCTACGAGTAAGGCCATTGCATCCACCATGTCCTCGGAGAGGTAGGACAGGTGGGACGGATTTTCCAGCAGGAAATCCTGCGCCAAGAACTCCAAAACAGTTAGCATGCGCTCCTTGTGTCTGTCGCTGTACAAACCGCCGAACCGCGCGCTGCGCTCACTCACAAACTACATTCGAAAATTGAGTTTAGGGGCAATGACCAGGTAATGAATACCTATAGCAATGAAAAGATTCATGAATCGGAGGAACCGGCGGAAGCGACCGGCCGCTCTGCGCACGGCGGACCACGAGGAGTTGCATGCGGATTTGCACACCCCGGACACGTGCTTAAAACGTGAGGTTGACATGTGCTCGATGGTGGGTGGTTGCGAGAGATCGCGTATATCAAAGTTGACTTCCACGCGTCCTATGCCTTGTGTCCGTTTTAACATTTGAGCTTCTCAGTGAGCGATAACAACTCCGGCTACCAGTTGCAACACCTTCTCATTTTGGCAAGATCCGAGCACAATGGGCTCGCCCCCAATCGGCCTCGTCGCTGCTCGGCACGACCACCATTCCCAAGTTGTCTCTGAAGGGTTGCTCAGTGTTCTTGTAGAGCCTTGGCTACAAAGATATGTGCTTCAATTTCCACAATCAGGCAAACATCTACAACGAAGACCAGTTGGATGTCATCAGCTCTGGGAGGGCACGTATCCGACGTATCCTGATTTCTTAGTGCAGGCGCTGCTACTGTTCCTTTGCCTGACTTGCAGCGCTTCTGGAGGCTGGGGGCTTCAGAGCAGTGTGGCCCAGTGCGGCCTTTGACTGAGGATGCAGCGGGAGATCCCGGGAGCTGCAGGCATGGAAGACACAGAGCTGACGTCCTGCCAGGGCCAGGGGCCAGGCATCGCTGAAGGCGAAGGGCTTCGGACTTCACAGCACAGCCGATGCCACAGGGCACCTTCCATGGAGTTCGGGAATGTCGCGGCCAGCGTGTCGCGGCAACTGCGTGCAACCTGCCGGGTGCACGCAATGCCAAAGCGATGCACTGCGGCATCTTCTGGCTCGAAGACTCCTTATGGCAACGCAGACGCTTCAGTTCAAGCAGGCAGTCGCTGAAGCACCGAAGCATTGGACTCTGGAATTTTTTTTCTGCTCTCGCAAGAACCTCCATGGATTGGAGGAGCAGGAGTTGTCACGCAGGGAGGCCCAGTGCTCTTCTCTTATGCCACAGTGTTGAAGTCTCCCTGCGATCACAAGTCACGGGCCCCGATCCAAGCCCTTCCTGATCCCAGTGGAGAGGTCGCTGCCATCTTCGGCGCTTCGCTAAACTCGGACCTCGGGCCCCCGAGAAGCTCGTGAGCCCTCAGCTGCCTTGGGGGCAGGAAATCTAAGGATCAAAAGACTCCCGGCATCAAGGACTAAAGGGGGGAGATCTCCTGTCCTCGCGACGGCTGACGACCTGGTCCTGCTAAACTGAAACCATGCCCTGTCTGAGCTGTGTGATCAGAACAGGGCGATTTAACAAAATGGCAATCTTGCAGCTCGCGGGCCCTTCTTTGCAAGGTTCTGGTGCAGTGGCTTTGCTCACGAAACGTGCTGGCATATGATCAGCACATGCTCAACCTTCAACTGGTTAAGTCGACACGGTCCCAACCCAAGTTCAGAGTGGCCGGAACATACTCTTGAGAGCAACTGCATCTGCAAAGGGCTCCTAACAACTGCGACATCACAGCGCTGGCGGATTTCGCTTGGTCCGCAGTTTGAGCTTCTTGCGCCGTTGGCGAATTCAACCACATAGGGAAGGTCGCTAATCAGGATGAACATTGTAGAGACACAAACTCAAATACTGCTCCAGAATCTATCCGCTCTATACATTGCAGATCACGAACCTGCTACACCACCCGACCTGCCGTCTTGAACAAAGCTCCAGGAGTCTTCTTCGCTGTGCTGGTTTCGGATGCGGCTTCTCTCAAAAAAGAAAACAGAATGCGGATAGTGTGTTAGACAGGGTGTGCGTGTGTGTGTGTGTGTGTGTGCATTCTACTCCACCCTCCAAGCAACTCGAAAGACCCATGAAACCCTTGTGTCAATGTTCTTTCAGAGCATGGAAGGCTCAACCTCCGATCGCCTGACCCTCGCTGCCCTGAACACATTGGACCGACATTCCAGCAGACTGCTCTGGTATCTTCAACCCTATGTCGTGTCGGACAAGATGACAGGCCCTCATGTTGGATTGCGTGCTTTGTGCACGCCTGGTTTTGCATGTGTAGCAACAAGACATTGGCGGGAGGGACCTAGCTCAACTTGGTCTACACGGGCCAGGACATGCTCCGAACTACCATCTTGGCAAGTGAAAGCCGGCATCAGAAGCCAATGCCTTCGGGGGATCTTCATCCCCTGTGGCATACGCCCTGTGATTAGATAGGGAGAAACGAGTTGCGTCTTGCTGCGCTTGCCGCGCATGTTTACAGTACAGTGACCGGAATCTCGCGGCGTTCAAAAGTGTGTTGCTAACTCCAATGTCGTTGCACAAAGGCAGGAGTAAATCGTGCTTCTTGTTTTAGCAACACAGAAAAGGACCGCAGCTCGGTTCAGGAAGCGCCTCGAAGCTTTCGCCACACCGGTTTGGACGGTCGCGTTTCAGTCACGAGCATCACTCGGTAGCCCCTGCAGAAAGAGAGTCTCTGTCTCTTGCACAGCATTCCAAGGGCTGTCATCTTATTTCGGCTTCTGGTAAAAGGCAATGTGCAATTAAACCCGGAGCCTGCCCAGAAATGCACACCGAAATCGGTGACCACAAGAAAAGCTGCAACGCCTCCCTGTCGTCGGTGTGACTTGAAACCTTGGAGCAGAACCCCCCATGGCATGAGATCTGAAAGAGCCAACACCATCGCACCGTCCACCCATGCCAGAAATGGCATTCAGCATAGCATAGCGAAGCTGGCATATCTCATGGACCCTGAGGATGAAAGCTTCGGCCACGCTGAGCTTCTGTCTTGTCCGGCTTGGACTCAATGAAATTCCTGTGCCAGTTTCTGGAAAGTGAAGGTACGGGGAAAAATTCGGAAACAGCGAAGGGTCCTTGCACCCGCATGGGCTGCATACACGATTCGATCCAATTGCATCAAACGCAAGGCGTCCGGGCTGCATCCGGGATCACGAAGTTACAACACTGGCAAGGCAGCTGCGACTAAGGCCAACTCAACATGAACAGAACCCGACCTGGCCTGACGGTGCCCAAGGTGGCATTGAACCGTTCCTGAAACGCACAACGCAGCCGCAAAGCCAACACTATTCCAACCAGGGAACATGTGCTCCAGGGAGCTGAATGCATGTGACATTGAAGTTCATGCCAAAGCTCGTTCCAGTCGTCGACCCAAACGTAGCCACCATTGCCAGGCCTGCATGGGATCTCCGATTGGTCAAACGTGCTGCTGGCATCTGCCGGGCATGCATGACTCTTGAAATCGTACTGGGGCATGACTGCTTCCTTCGCCCCACAAGAACAATTCAGCCTGTGGCCGTGATATGCAGTGACAGCTGATCTCTCAAGGTACCAGTCTTTAGAAGTCAGATCGGAGGAGCATTGCGAAGCAAGATTTCTCAAGCCCAAAGTAGCTTCGGACCGTTTCAGCTGGCTGATGATCTCCCGCAGGGCTTCTTCGGCGAGCTCGTCCTGACACCACACAGAGCACCGCAAGCAGCAAGCGGGAAGCATCCTACAAGGATATCAGCGCTGATTCGCGGTCCTTCCGGTCCGTAGCCGCCTTGCGGCTCTCGTCAGGCACCTCCAGGGAAAAAAAAAAAAGCGGTGTGTTGCAGCTTCCATGCTTCGCTTCTCCCTCACATGAGACTTTGATGATACCATCTCGCAGCCTCCTGAGCTTTGTCCGTAGAGTTCGCGCGCACAACCTGCCCGAAATCGGCCGAAACGACTGACTTGGTTGAGTATTGCAATCCTCAAACTGTTGGGCAGCTCGGCTGGACAGGTTAAGATTGATATCCAAGTCCCAGCGCTTCTTCAACCGTCACACATGTATTGTCGCTTTTCCCATCGAGGCCCATGCAGGCTTCCAGACTGCGCGCGATGAAGTCTGCGCCTACAACGTTGCGCATTTCGAAACCATGCCCACATAGCACTCCGAAGCCGCAACACGAGAGTGCTCTGGAGGCATTTGAGACCACGCTAGAGTCACCAGACCTGCTCCATGCGAGTCCCCAGCAGCTGGCTGCCGAAATTTCCGATGGCAGCAGAAAGTCGCTGTTGCGCTGTGCTGCTCTGGGCCTTCGACTGCCGTGGCTTCGCTTCCGCGTCCTTACGAGATCAGGCAGTAACCAGGCATGCGGTGCATGTGGCGTGAATCAAGACTGCTGGCTGAGCGAAGCTCCTGGGGCGACGAAGCGGATTGAGCCGGCACAGAGTCTGCCTGCCGGAGACTCCGGAAGCACCGGACATGGTCGGAAAGATGCTGGGCCCCCCGCTTGCGTTGGCATGCTTCCTGGCTCCTGGCATGAAGGGGCACAAGTAAAGCACGCTGACTCACTGTTCAGCCTTCAGACTTTGTGTCCTGTGCTACATCCTCGCCAGTCTGGAGCGGTGTCCGTCGAGCCCTGCGAGTGCCAAGGCAACGGAAGTTTCCAGCTATGACAGGTCAGGTGAGAGGCAGGCCAGCGCTGGACTCGAACTTGACTGCCTGTCGCGGCTTCTCGTAAACTAATACTAGAGCCGGACAGAGAGTCAAAATGTGATGTGTAGAGGCTATATTATATGCTTGGAGCTCGCAAGAAGCCCGTAACATGCCTGAGCTGTCGTTACGTTCATGAACAGGTCGCTGCCACTCCATGTCGGGCCTCAGATTACGTACTCTGCTTGTCTACCGCACTGGCTGCGCCTCCATGAGCTTACATCACATGTGTCCTTGTCCAGGCTATACCGGGATGCTGACCGCTGGCCACAGCCTTGGTTCGGCTGCGAAGCTTTCAACGGCTTCCAAGCAGGAGTTGCTCATCGCAAGACGTCAAACGGACAGGTCCAAAAGGTGTCGGTCGGGAGGTCTGGTACGGTACAGTACAGGGTGCCCACCGAGGCGCCCGGGTCGCGCCACACGAGGCTTGCTGGCTCAGACAGCCAGTCGACCTCAGACCTCAGGAACAGCGATGGCGAGCTTAGGAAGGGATAAGGTCGTGCAGGCGCAGCTTACATCCAACAATCCAAGCACCGAGCAGATCTAGGAAATAGAGCCTGTCCTTTCCCCACCACAAGAACCTGAACAGCTTCGGCAGCTCATTGTCATGCTGCATCAGCAGCTTGGTCCAATTCGTTTCGAGATGTTTCAAGTTGGAGACCCCGAGCAACAGCCAACCTCTTAAGCCGTACGTCGCATTACGCCACATGCCGCTTGCGACGAGGCTCTCAAGCGCCCGAGGCGGCTGCATCGTGAACAAATGCAACTGTCGCGGAATGTGGGCAAGCATGCATGCATGAAACTTTGATATGCACCATCAATTGCACACATGACATATCTTTATGCATGTATGTAGCATGCATACATGTATCTATATCTAAAAGTATACAGCACTTGGCATATATATGTACTCTCTCTGTATATATGAGCATATATGTAAATATATATGTATATAGACACACACTGCATATATATATATATATATATACATATAGATATGTACATATGTGTGTGTATACATATATATGCACCGTACAAATATATACATGGTATAGGCATATGTACATATACAGCGTGCGGAACTCTTGCACCAAACCGTGCAAGAACCGATCAGCCGATCAGGCAATCAGCCGTAAACCCTGCAGCCAGGCCTCCTGAGATGTGTGTACACTGTAATCGCAAAGTGCGTTTCCAAACTACGCAGCAGCCGATCAGCCTCATACACAGTTTGGAAACCCACTTTGCGAGCACAATGTACACATATATATATATATATATATATGTATATATATATATATACATACGCATACATACATGTATATATAATCTACATATATATATATATATCCATGTCTGTGTATGCAGCTATCAGTCGTTCTGTCAGTCCTCCGTCCGTCCTTCCACATGTCCTCTGTCTATGTACATGCATGGGTATGTATTTGTACATGTATATATGAACAAATGCATATGTCTATAAATATATATTATATATATACAATGTATACATGCATATACGCACGTGTCTATGTAGATATGTATGTATATGCATGTGTGCATGGATGTGTGTGTATGTGTATATATATATATATATATAAATGTAAATGTATGTACGTATGTATGTACGTAATTACGTATGGTAATTATGTATGTATGTATGTATGTGTATGTGTATGTGCTCGTGTATGTATGCTTGCACGTATGCGTTGCACCTGACACACGCACATGCGTGCACACACAGGCACACACACACACGGAGACAGAAACACAGACACAAACATACACACACGCACGCGCGCGCGCGCACGGAGACAGAAACACACACACACACACACACACACATCACGGATGGCGCGACGCTCATTCTTGGTCTTGACGAATGCAACCGCAACCTTGAAAGCACAGGAACGTCCTTGTCCTTGTCCCCAAAGCCCTGCTCGTGCCGTGCACAAACCATTGTTCGCACGAACCTACCAGTACAGAAAGAAGCCGAACTAAGCCAAGCAAACCCGAACCAACCCTACTAAAGCAAGCCAAGCCAAGCAAACCAAAAGGATGCCGCATCTCCGACAGTCACAGAACCCCAATCCCGAAACCGGCAAGCCCTTGCGCACCATGCACGAGCCCTAGGCTAGGAATCGACTGTGTTTTGTGATCTCCTTGTCCAGGGCACAAATAGTTTCTTATCGGACGCGTGCGCGAGGTACGATTCAGGATCTCATGGTTTCCCGCACTTTGGTGAGTGTACTGCATAAATATATATATATATATATACATACATACGTACATACATACATACATACATGTATGTGTGTGCATGTCTGTGCCTGCACATACACATTGCATATGCGCATACATTACACATACACATGCACATACACATCATATCTATACATATATCATATATGCATGCATAGCACACACATACATACATACGCACGTACGTACACACAGGTTAGACATACGTGTACATATATTCATGTATATATATATATATACATAGACATCCACCCACCCACCCACGCATACATACGGATGTGTGTGTGTGTATATGTGTAAGCAAAGTCTGTTTCTTACGACATAGTCATAGTCTCTCAGACAGTTGTTTTGCTACGGTGTTCCATTGCATGTCGTTTGAGACAGCGCTGGCCTTTCTCGAATGTCCAAGTACAGCGGCACATCGGGCTGTGCAGTTGAGTCCTCCGGTGTTACTGTTGCAACGAGAGGAAACTGGACGCGGTCGCAGATTGCTCTCTTCTCCAAGAACCAAGCTTAAAAAAGTTCACCCTATTAGCTCGGTAAGATCAAGCACAGTCCGCCGAGGCCAGAGGCCCAGGCGTCTTGGGTCTTACCTCAGGTACCCTCCACCTAATCTGCAGTCCAAATGTCCCCCCCCCCCCCCCCCCCCCCCCCTCCCCTCCCGCTCCCTTCCATCCTTGCCTCTCCCCTCGCACCGCCCTCCGACTTCTTCTGCCCACCCCCGTCTCCTTTTCCTCGTCCCCGCTTTGGCTTTCCCACCAAGCTCTGAATCGAGCATTTCACGGGTGCATTGTCTTCTTTTCGTTCTCTGACCAGACCGTTTACAAGACCCTCGCCCTGCCACTGGAGAGCCGAGGCGGGCGGCGTAGCGTTAAAATTACGGACAAAAACCGAAAATGTATCTGCGAGTTTAGCACAGCTCAAACGCAAAAATGCCGCTTGGGGTATGCGGTGGCCCTGAAAGCTCGTGGAGGAGTGAAGGGCCGTCCGGAAACATGCTTCCCACCACATGCTGCCTATCCTGGTGCACGCGCGTGACGCGGATATCATGGAGGTCCCCGAAGACCACCTGGTATTTGCAGCCTCCCGACACGCCAAGCGTGGAAGCAAACAACAGATTGCTACAAAATTGAAGACAAGGATGCCGGCTCTTGATTCATGCAGCAGCGACTACTTCGACGTAGCTCGGAGGGCCGACAAGCAGTTGGTGCTGCACCCACGAGCCGTCGGGCATGTGGCGAAACGTCGTTTCAACATGGGAAGCTGCTGCTTTGTGGCCAAATGCAACCAATTTCTGTTGACATCGATAGGTCGCCGCACACTCGGCTCGTGCATGACGATTGCGGCGAAGGATTCTTTGCTTCCCTGTGCATTGCTTTTGTGGTCGCTGTTCTAAGTTCTAAGTGCTTGCAATCGCTGCTGCATCGCAAGACCTTTTGCGGCTGAGGGCTGACCTGTCTACTACCTCGCCGCATGTCCAAAAGTGATATTCCCTTGGTGGTCGCGGCCTTGCCGCCCGAGCCATTCACCCGCAAGCTGCTTCTTGAGAGAAGTCAAGTCTACCTCGGGAGACGTCTGATCCCACAATTGACGACCATGCAAACGATGTGAACAGCGTGTGGGCAAATCACCGAGGTTCAAGGAAGCCGAAGATGGGATGCCGGCATCTTGTGGCGTTGGAGGCTGAGATGCCGTTAGCTCCTTGCGAAGTTATGTTTCTGGTGACTCCATGCCTGAAACCTGGATCTTACCTCACTGAAGTGGAAGACATGCACTCACATCTGCTCGCAGCTATGGCAGCCATGACCCACCTGCCTCCGAGTTTGCTTCCGTGCTTGGCGTCCGACAAAGCTCCTGTGCCTGGAACGTGAGCACCGTGGATGAAACCTCCTAGACTCTAGACTACGACAGGAGCTCATCACAGAGTGGCCTGGCTGGTCTCGTCCACGCAGCTGTCCTCGGATCTCGAAATGCCGAAGTGTCACAGGCCACCGGCTTAAACGCCCTAAAGTTGAAACAGACATGAAGCTGACCAGAAAGGCCACAAGCTTCGCCGAGCCGCAAGGACCAGCGACTTCCTGTGGCGCTGGTCGTTTCCGCGCCTCTCTACAAGTCACGCGACATCGGAATCGAAGACCAAAGCACAATGCTGCTAAGACTGGAACGGGTCTGCCGGAACGCCAGCCTTTGCTGCGGAACTGACCAGTGTTGACGACTCGCCCGCGCTCCGACACCGATGCTGAGGGCCACACAGAGCATCTGCCACAGATCAGCTGCCTGCGCAGACTGAAGTCACAGTGAGAAACAAAGCAGAGCCATCGCAGGCTAAACTGAACTGAATGACAGCACGCGTGCATGCGCTTTCCTATTGAGCTGTCTTAGATATTGCCATCATTGCTCGGGCCTACTGACATGCCGAGGCTGATAAGCCGACCCGCAACTGATCCAATGCCTTGCTGTCACGCCGTCGGGTTCGATCGGCCTCGCGAGACGCTGTGCTCAAAACTTCATTCCCAAACCCTCAGTAGCGAAGCCCTAACGGGAACAAGAGTGGCTGCTACCGGTAAGTCACAAAACTTTGGATACGGGTTCTGAAAGCAGCTCTTCAATTCGTTGCTTGACGGTGTACTTGCACGAGGAGACACTTCGCGACAGTTTCTGGAACGGTTTGCCCATTGCGCCGAATGTACAGGCCTGGTGCACTGGGAGCAGCGAAGCTTCTTCTTCCCGCTGCCGATGAGCCCCTCCCACTGCTTCGACCGATCCTTTGCAATCCGTCTCGGCCAGGCATAGGACGGAAAGGCACCTGGTTAGACCTAGTTCTTTGCGGAAATAACTGGAACATGGAAATCGGGCTCCTCAGCGGGCAACTCCTTGAGAATGCCCTGGCTGGCACCCTGCACGAATCAGGATGACCCCCCACCCCCCAGTCCCTCCCGGACTCCCTGAGCTCTGCCTTTCGGTCCAAGAGCCGCTGCAGCGCCCCTCGGTCCAGGCCCTGGCCAGCCTGGTAGGTCGCAGGCATCTCGGCGCGGCCTCCGGCATGCCGCGCGTTGCTTTCTTCAGGGTTCAAGCTCAACATCCAAGGCTCCGACGACAAAACTTGGCTCGGCGTGGTCCGATGCTCAATGGCCACGTCTACTTCGACCACTTACTAAGCTGCAAGCGTCCCAAGCGTTTGTGGCTGTGCTGTCGAAGCTACGAGTACGGGCTAACTAGGCCTTGCTTCTCGGACTATGAGGGCGTGGGGTCCTGGGGTTCTGGGGTGGCTGGTGGCTTGTGAGCTTGGTCTGTGCAGTCATACCAAGAAGTCCAGGCGAATTGATTGCGATCAGACTGTTGCCTGCACTTGGAAGGAATCCACGCTCAAGCAAGCCAAAGCTGCGCGAGGTTTGGGCCGAACATCACACCAGGGCATCAGAATCCGAAACCAAATCTTCATCACAGTCATTGCTGACCCATACTGTAGCTGCTTGTCAACCGGACAACCAAGTGAATAGTCGGGGTGGCGGCCTGGATCGCCGTCGGTTTCCTGTTCTGGCTGCAAGGCTCGGAAACAAATCTTAGAAAGCGTCGCGTACAGCACTGTGTATGATGCAGTGCACTTGGAAGCTTCAGACGTCTGCTCTGAAAGCCACCGTCGCCGGGAAGCCCAGAACACGAAGCAAAGCACGACAAGGCGGCTTAGGGTGAGGCCCTTCTTGAGAAAGCTCCCAGGACGCAACTTCCAGAGACTCATGGGAGTTCGCCTCGATGTCTGTGGCCACTAGGCACAAGACAAAATCTGGCGACCATTCCACTCCGTCACTCAGCATCCCTGAGATGCGTGGCAAGCGCGGCGCGTGTGCTGGCAGGGACTCCGGACATCAAGGCCCGGACTAGATGTTGTGCGATCTGCAGGCGGAACTCGCGGCTCCTGGGAAGGTCTGAAGGCAGCACAACCCACGGCCACGGTCGCTCCAAGAGCCCCGATGAGCACCCCACAGCCCAGACGTGCCACGGCCGGAGGACTCGACCCTGGTTTCCTGGCTCAACCCCAACATCTCTGCCGCTGCCATCAAAAAGCATTGCAGACTGCTCCACATGCAGTGACAAAACTGGCGTGGATCACGTTCCAGGGCCTTGGCCGCAGCAGGTGCAGAATCAGAGTCATCAACGGAGTTTGGAATAGACATGTTGTCTTCCCTCGAATGCGAGCAAGCAGCGAGAGCCACATGCCGACTACCTCGTCAACCAAAGATCCAAACTCGAAAGTGATGAGGGATGCTGCATGTGATTGGCGCTGGCAATGCTGGGATCGTGGCCCTATAGCCTCTCTGTTCTAGTCTTTCCCTGGCCTGCCGCAAACGACAAGCATGAAAAGCAAAGGAAGAATCTATCAAAACTGGAGCAGCCCGCCTTCTCCAACAAATCTACATGGCACTTCATGGCGGGCGCCATGGCATCACTGAGAATGAGAAGAGCCAGCGTGCCCTCAGGAAGAGCAAGGCATGTTGATCCAGATGGCTGCTGCGAGGAGCCCAAGCCTCGTGGTCATAGGCCAAAAGCTTCTGCATCAGCTTTCCGGCAGGCCAAGCGCTGTCCGGGACCTTCCGGCTGACAGATCCAGACTGTACATGCTTTCCAGACATTGCCCGACTGCGACGATGAATGACGATGCATTGCCTGAACATGCTGACTCCTCACAACTGGTTCCACCTGTGGCAGAAGCTTCGCAAGATCCTGCTCGAAGGCCATTTCCTCCTGACCGAGAGATGGCTGACTCGCCAAGACGGGCACAACAATGGAAAAAGACGCCGTTCTCCTCACGGGTCGGCCTCAAGACGAGCCGCAGAACAGTCTCTGGAAGAGCCTGCAAAGAACCGGTGCGGAACAGCTTCAAACCTACTACGAAGCACGCCTTCTGCTACGGTGTGACTCGACCCTGCATTTTCCTGACTCTCGTGACTCCCGACCCAATCCCAGTCGAGACCAGCGGCCTCCGCTACGAAGGCCAAGTCGCCACCTGCCCGGCTGCCGGGGCTGTTTCACTCATGGCCGGCGCAAAAGGAAATCATCTCGTGTGATCCGCAGGAAGGGCGCCTTTGATGGCTTCGGCAAGCTGCTCGGAGGTCAGCTTCCCACCCTGGCAGTTTACAAGCCGCGTGAAAGGCACTGCATGCATAAGTCACCGCACAGGAACCTGCCTTCCCAGCCGGTGCTTCGGACACATAGACTTGTTGCAAGGGGCGCTCCAGAAGAAACTCCTCACAGACAACGGCTCGAACGCCACCCCAAAACACTCCGAGTCACGAGTCCTCCTCGCCGGGCTGCGGCACGACCACCAGCCCCAGCATCTCCTGCAAGTTCAAGCCAAGCCCAAGCCGTGGCTGCCCGGGCCACAGGATGATGACCAAAAATTAAAAACACACACATTCTGCCATCTTTTGACAGGCGGAAAGGACAGGTTGAGAGGCCACAGAGCTGATAATGATTTTGCGTTCTGGCCGTGCCTGGGGTTTGAGGTTCTGGTACTTCTTGGTGTCATCCGCGCCACAAACAGCCACCACCTCAGTGGTTGAGAGGAAGGTGGGAAGAACGCCCGTGGCCTGCGACTTGCCGCAACATCTCGCAACCAAAATAATTTCATTGACGATCCACGCTTTCTTGTCAGAGCTTGCACTCAGAAGCGAAAGACCACTCCAAGTACGGTAGTTCGGGGTGAGTGAAGGGAAGTAGTCCTAATGGAAGGTCGTGGCTTCTGAACGAAACCATGATTGCCACAAAGAGGAAGCCAGTGCCGGGTTGCCCACAGGAAGCAGCTGGGCTCCCGCACCCTCACTCGCGGAGCGGACTTTGAGCTGAGACCCGTCTCCTGTGCACCGAGCACATCAAGCGTGATTGAGATACATGCAGTGAGACATGTCGAAACAAACCGAAAAACTGTAAGAGCAGAACCGTTGGACATACATACACGGAGACGATACGAACCAAGAGATGTGTGTGTGTGTATATATATATAATGTACCACCGGGATGCCTGCATGTATATCCGTATGTCTACATCTGTCTACATGTGTTGTACATAAACGGGATGAGCTCGCAGAGCGTGGGCCATGGTCTTAGAAGTCCGTCCGTCTTTCGCGGCAGTTGCCAAAACTGACGTGCTCTGACGCTGAGGCTGGATACATAACGGCCCTGTGAGGCTGGAGAATGATGGCATGCTCTAAAGTATTACATGCTCATATGCCTGCAAGTCCTTCATGCCCCAAGTTGTGCTACATCAGAACGTTCGGGGACTGTTGCTTTCCACTGGCAGACCCGTCGCACGAGACTGTTGCGGACACATTGCTCCACATCTTGCCATGGCTTTCTATAAAACTAAAGACGCAGTCATTTAGATCAGTGTTCACATCTATAGAGGACATTGGAGGCTCGGCTCACTAGCTCCTCGACGAGAGCCTTTCGCAAGCTCTCCAGCACCTCATACGATGTATGAATTTATGCGGCTCACAAACTTTGGGCTTAGGCTTCGGGTTGAGTTGGAAAGTTCAATCTTTGCTGGTGCATGACCGGGGGGGTCAGAGTTGCAGACTTGTGCCAGCAGGATCTAACGGCAGTTCAGTCTGGTGGTCTGGTTTCACACTAAGTTGCCTATTTCCATGACAGTGGGTCGCAAGATCGATCCGGAGTCCACCACTCTTCCGTCAGTAGCCAGTCTTAGTGTGCCGAGCAAGTGCACTACAATGCACTACAGTTCGAAAACGATGTGCGGAGAGCAGGGACAGCGGAGACTATTGCCAACATGGCCTCCAGCTCCTTGACTGGCTCCTGGCGAAGTGCCCAGGCTGATGCCTGAAGCAGACATGACCCAGGAAAGAAGTGCGCCTGTCAGAGCGATGCTAAAGTGCTATAATACTATAAGCCTCCAGGAGTTTTTCTGCCTGCACTGCTTCACGGACAGCTGCCAGGCGAAAGCCCGGAGACCTGGAGGCATTTGAAGCTCGAAGCGGCGGTGCTGCGGGGTGACGATGAAGACTCGCATGCGCAACGAAACTTGTCATCGCTAGGTGCCCAGAACTGCTGAAATCAGTCCAGGAAGCAGCTGTCCACCGGGCATTGGCGCCAACCATCCTTCGTGCTACCGGCTGCAGTCATTTCATACAGAGCGTTGCGGTTGCTTGCTGTGTCTTTCGTAAAGCTCCGAGTGCAAGGGCCAGGGGGCCAGGCCTGCCAAGACGTCGTAGCCGGCACGTTCCAATCGCAGGACAGCCTCCAGCAAGGCATCGCGATCGCGAGGGCTGGCTTCAAGTCTAATGAAAGCCCGTCGCTATCTCAGGGTGAAGGCTAAACCGACTGCACGGCTGCAGGCGCAAGGGTGAAAACCTTGTTTTGTCTATACAGGCGCGATTGTTCCTCCTGGAACTGTTAGGACCTTAAGGTAAATCAGCTACCAGGGTTCACATGTGAGGAGAATTGAAGGCATTTCCACTTCAAAGAGCTCTCACCCAAGCTGCTGAGTCATTGAGTCATAGTGAGTAAAGACTGGCCCAAGCCCACAGCCCCCGAGAACAAGTCACCCTTGCAGACAGTTCGACTTGATGATTGTATGATTACTGTATGATAGATGACGACCAGTCGTCGTAGACGAAGATCGCCGATCTGCAAGTTCTCTAGTTTGAGTGTTGACTCGCGATTAAGTGGAAGTGTCTTCAAATTGACACCTTGGCAAGGCTTCAGTAAGAGGCCCCGCGAAGGTGACCAAAACAGTTGCATGCTCAGAGCGGCAATGTGCAGAAAGGACAGGCAGTATCATTCATAAGGGGGGACTAAGACGCTAGAATCTTCTGCCACGAACGATCGCATGGTCGACGTAAAGCTAGACTGGGAACTTCACTCTTCTCTTCACGTGTTTTCTCGATTATTTCGCTAAACCTATGCCTGTGTGTGTGTGCGTGTCTGTGTCTGTGTCCGTGTCTGTGTCTGTGTCTTTGTCTGCGTGTGCGTGCGCGTGCGTGTGCGCGTGTGTGTGTGGGTTCTGTCTCTGTCTCTGTGTCTGTCTGTCGGCCTGTCTGTTTGTCCCTGTGAACGTCTGTCACCGTCTTTGCCTTCTGCCAGAATCTTTCTCTTGTAGACGTCGGTCATGTAGATAGGGAAAGCGCCGCATGCATAAACTTTGACTGGTCTGCTCAGTATCCGATACTCGTCTGTCTTCATGGGGAAGGGGGGGGGGAGCGCCAATGCTGCGCCAACCTGTCCTCAAGATCTGTACGCTCTGGATGGAAGCCAGGCCCCTTAGGCTTATGCCTTGGAAAAGTTAACCCCGGCAATACAGACCACGAGCCCACCGCTTCAGTGAGTGGTGAAGTGATCTGTACACTTAGCCGGCTGAGGTGCTTTCGTCTCGAAAAAAGCGCCTGGAGCAGGCTCCAACTCGAAACAGCACTCCATGCATTAACATATATATTGCAGATTTAGACATATCATATAAAAGCAGCCATATCGAGTACTCAGTAACCATGCTGTTTCCCCCCTAAGCTCTTGTCGTGTCCCTAACATGCCAGACCAGCGGCAACTAACAGCCCCTCAGCCAGCCAATTGATCGACTCGCGGATTGGGGATCCGCACGCCATGTTGTGGCACAGATGAGATCGGCTCGTTCAACTATTGATGGAGGCGCTGTGCAGCCGTGACTGTGATTTTATTCTCCACTTCTGCGCTACCCCACCCGGGCCCTGGTGCATCGCGGTCTCCGTGTGCACGCAGGGCCACACATGTGGGCCGTTCGATCCCCTGCAGATTTTTGCGGGTCCACTGGTGCTGCGGTCAAAGCCGTCGAATTGGCGTAGAACTTGGCACTGCAGGACTCAACACCCCCACCCACTAGTACCTGAGAAGTACACTCCGTAAGTTCTTTGACCGTCGCTTCCCTGAGGAATGCCCAAGCATCAGGCGAGAAGAGTAAGAGCCACCGTGTGCAATCAGCCGAGCACAGACTCATCTGGACCCCGAAGTCATGGCATAAACACCGACAGGCCTAAGTCTTCATCACACTCCGTCTGTCAGTAACACAGACCAGTTAACCACTTGGCTTCACCAAACGACGTAATTACTTGCGGCATGGCGTCTAGGCAGTGCAACTTAACCCAGGCACATGCAGGCGCTTATAAGTAAGTAGGTATAGTGGGGCTTCAGCACTCTCAAGTCTGCGGGCTGGAAAACTCTTTTTGAGTGCTCGGAGGCAAAACCAGGATTCAACAGCCGACAAGCAGATGGGATGATCATAGGGACTCCCAGCTCAGCTGTACAAATCCGCTGGCTGCTGCCACCAGTCTCCTCACAGAGTGTCTCTGACGAACCTCTTGGCCAGAGTCCCTGCAGGCATGGAGCCCGGACATGCTAGATCTACAACCTTTGTGAAAATGCAAAGCCGGTTGGCAGAGGTTTGCAGCACTCCGTGGCATCAGCCTGTTATCCGACTGAGTTCCAGAATCCAGGATGAAAGAAACGCAAAGTGGCTTGGGGAAGATTTCAAACGCTGAAGATTGTACCTTTACAAGTAGGAACCAGTAAGACCGGGTGGTCTAGTAGTCTAAGGCTTTCTTTCTTGTTTGACGGGGAACTCAGTCTCCGCGTGTGTTCTTCAACACCACATGCGTTGCAAGTGACAGTCTGATCAAAATCGTCTAGAGCAAGTCAAATCTTCCACACCCCCGAGGAACTAACAGGGAAACCGTTGCGCCAACCAGGCATTGGGCCACATAGGGGCTGATGGGCCGCTTCCACTCCAGTGGTGGTTAGGGGTGTCCGCTGACCCTACTTGGACTCCTCGTTAGCTCCGGGGAGTGTGGGGCAAGTCATGCACAGTCCGGCCATTCATGGCCATCCACTTGAATGTGGCAAGGACCCCAATCGCTGACCTCAGCAAGTCTCTTTGCACCTCTTGTGGACAAAGCATGGCGGCTTTTCCTATCGCTGAGCCCCTGGCACAATGCAGGGCCCTGGATCACACCTTCCGAAGTTGCTTGAGTATCGTACGGACTACACACCTTCCTAGCGCAATCTCACACAAAGATGGCCTGGCTACAGTAAAGCTGTGAGTAGAAATCGGAAACTCGCAGGTAAATTCCTGCTTGAACCATGCTCTGAAAATGGCAGAAATGTCGGCGGCCGAGCCTGAAATTTGCCAGAGGGCAATAGGTGCTGCTTCTGGGAATTCCCATTTAAACATTGAACCTCAGCGCGTCAGACTTCACAAACACGGTCACTGCTCAGCAAGGCTCTGACTTACACTTTTTGCACGCTGCCAAGTCTTAAGACTTTCGAAATTAGCCACCGTCCACCGTCCTCCACGCTGAATTTTCCCATTGGGACACGTCCGTTGGAGCTGAGGCCCTCACCAGGACAGAGCTGCATTGGTTCCAGTCCTTCACTAGACAACCGGACCGGGTCTGAGGTTTTTTTCTGGCGCTGGCAGCGAGGCGGGCTCCTCAGCGTTGTGGCGCTGCAGCTCGAGGCTCCAGCGCTCGACCTCGCGCATCAGAGCCTCAGTCGGAGCCGTGATCGAAGCCCGCAGCCTGCGGGTTCCTTCTACTTTAAACTACGAGCTTCGAACCTCCACACGCTCCTGGACTGCTGGGGGAAGATGTCGCACCTTCACCATGCTTGAGTGGCTTAGCAGATGCTGGTCATGTCTCAGCCAAGATCTTGCGGTGCCAAGTCGGCCGCTTCATCTCCTCCCGCCGCCCCTGTGACAGCCTCCACGCTCGACGGTCAGAGCTTTCCGAATACATGCTTCTAGTGCAGAGGGCCGGGCTCTTCGCACCAATGTGGCCTGGGGCGCCGAATCGCCGGCACCAACCAGTAAGGACAGCACCTCGAAAGAGGAAACACGGAGAGCAAAGGAAACATTCTGCAAGACTCGAGCCCCAACCGCGCATCTGCTTTTCAGTCTTGCCCAGGGGAGTCCTTGTGGCCGTGGCTGCAAGCCACGACTAAGTAAAGGACCGTGACCACGCCACATGTAGGGACAGAGACTTGCGCTCAACGTCCTCTGCACGACGAGGTAAAGTGCACATAATGAATGCTTTTACAAAAATCATGCTACCACGCGCTCTGCGGCGCTAAACTGGACCCCACATCTGTTCGATGACTGGGGCTTGAGAGCAAAATTTTCAGCTAGGTTTTCAGCACTTGCCTTCACATCAGTTGACGCCAGTCTTCTCAGGTCACTGGAGAGAGTGCTCCACTGAAACCCGAGAGGAAAAATGCTGGCTTCCGACCGGGTCGGATGAGCGAAGGACTCTCCGCACAGGGTTGGGCCCGGGGCAAGCGCCACTAAGCCATTCATGTGTCGAAGGCGTCCTGAGGCCGCAACTGACCTACTAGTACTGTCACTCCGGCAGTGCCATGCCCTGAGTCCTGAGAGTTGAAAACAGAAGCACCCTGACAGCTGATGCAGCAAAGCAATGCCGTGAAACGATTGGCTCGGTATATGGCCAGGTTGTGGATCTCGATCAGCCGTCGGGGCAATGGTGCTGAGCACGACGAGCATCAACGCATTATGCATAATGCTCTCGGGCCGGAGTCTGCTTCTAGTTGCTTCTTATCATACCGACATATCGAAAAGCGGCAAAGCAAAGCTCAAGCACTTGTCTCTGGCCTTAGTCCATCCTAATCCTAGTCATCCGGAGTCATCCGGCTATGGGAATCGGTTGGAAAGCCGTAGCAATGCTGCTGTCGCCTTTGGGAGCCGGCCATGGCAGCTTACCGCACACTGACACACGCTTAAAATTTGCTCAACGGAGAAGGCCGGCTAGACTTCAGTCTCGGGCACGCTGCCTGGCAGCAACGCCTCCTTCATGGCACTTTCTGGCCTGGGAGCTGGCAACGGCGTTATTGCCTTGGGGAGATTATGATTATGGTGACTTACCTTTGCTCAGAAACCCCAGGACCTCCCAACGCCTCCCAGAGGGTGCACAATGAGACCCCTCCATAAGCCTGCTCTGGCCATTGAGAAGCGCTGTTGATTGCTCTAAGGGCTGCTGCTGCTGCTGCTGCTGCTGCTGCTGCTGCTGCTGCTGCTGCTGCTGCTGCTGCTGCTGCTGCTGCTGCTGCTGCTGCTGCTGGGCTTTTTGGGTCCTTGAGATGCACAGGTTGTGTTCTTCTTAGTGAGGTAGGCTCTAAAATTCTGCAGCTGCATGCTCAGTCTTTACGGTAACAACAAGACAACATTGGGCCTGTTCCCGTGACAAAAACGATGAGAATAGGGCTCAACAGAGAAGTTGATAAAGCAAAGAGACAAAACATATTGGCATATTGATATTGTGTCTGCGGAGATCCCTAAGGAGTGCATGACCATGCCTGGATTCAGAAACATTCGAGGGTGCGCGGAATCGCCTTCCCCCAAGTACCGACGGCTCCAAGAACAGCGCGAAACACCGCACCACAGCGGCAGAAGCGCGCCGTGAGCATGCCGTGCTAGAAACTGGGAGAGATTTGCAGTTTGCTGTAAATAGCAGTAGGCCGGCAGCCATCTTTCCACGCACGTGGGGCGCGCGCCGCAATCAAATCTCTTCACACTGCACACAAGAGCCCCATGGGGTTAGCACTGGCACCACGCTGTTTGAGGAAACAGGCATGCAAAGCAAATTGTTATGACGGCCGCAGAGGGATGGTATCGAGAGATGGTATCTGGCTGCTCGCCAACGCGCTAGTAAGCAAAACTCTTGCATCATGCACGAACGTCGAATCAATCCGCAGCTCACTGCATTGCCCAAACGCAAAGCTCCCTTGTTTTGTCTTTCAACCTCGATACAGTGACTAAGGCATCTCAGGCTTCGGCGACTGTGGTAGACTGCACGTCAGCTTTCCAGCACTTGCCTCTGCCAGTTCCTTTCTTACCTGAGCTGCTGCGCAGCGCAGCTACTGTGCTCGCCATGTGTTTTCTGAAGTGGCAGGCTGCAGAACAACTACCGGCACAAAACGCTTTTTTAGACAGCGGTTCACTTGACATGCAAGCCTTCATCAGAATGCGCAAGGAGACGTGCACATGGGTAGTTGGTTCATCGGTATGTATGAACCATACGAGCTATTGCTTTCACTGGTGACACAACCCAACTCGAATCATAGACGACTACCAAGTGGCCTGACGTCGCACACGTCGTCTAGCTTCTGCAATTACCCCACGGAAGACGGCGACTCGCACACAGTAGCGCCTGCAACAGCAATCTGTGTTGAGATGCTGCTGAAGGCTTAGGCACTCCTGTTGTCCTTGCATCCCTCAATTTAAAAAGCCAAGCAACTTTATAAGTTTGGAAATGCTCTAGTTTGCCACAGTAGTAGTTGAAACCGCCGTATCTGCACGGCTTCTTGATGCAGCATGACATGCTTGCGCCCGCATCGGATCCTGCCTGACAATGTATCCGAGTTGAGGGCAGGTCCGCTTTCGTCGCTCGATGACTCCCATGAACCTGTGCTGAGCGAGAACACGTGTCGTGGGGCTTTGACTACCGTTGGGGCAAGCGCCAGCAAAGCACTTCAGTCAATGATAGACAAGCCTTCTTCACAGGCTCTGTCCGAATTCAAAACAAACACCTGCGAAGGAAGCTCTTTACTTTCTGACTCGAGAGTGGCCGTTCCCGCGTGAGATAGAGCACCTCGATATACGTTAGAGCATAGCCTTCCAGGGGCCAGAAGGATGCTACGAGTGCCGAACAGCGATGAGAATTCAGGAAGCTCCACGCCAGGCTCGCCTGCCACCGGTCGTATCAAACTCGTGTCTGAGAGGACGAAGTCTTCGCCCCATACAGCACCATCTCTCTGAACATGGCTGTTCAAAGCAACCAGTCCTCCCGTGGTTGAGCTTTTCAGGAAGACGTTTCTCTAGGTCAACTGCTGGTCACTTCATAGTACGGACTGGTCTGGCAATCGCAAGAGGGCAAGGAAGACCAACTCGCCTTGCCGAAGTGAAAGAAAAAAACAAGGACGCACGGACTCTCAGCGGTTGATCGTCCATGCTTTTGCTGCCAAGGCTAGGCTATGTGTGCCTGCACCCTGTGCCTTGTCGGTTTCACTGCAAAGACAGGTGCATGACCTACCATCTTTACCACGTTCACGTCAGAACAAAGGGAGCACAACAGCTCCCAAATGGGCGGGCAATGACATTGACGTAGGTAAGGTGCTGAGTCGGAGTCGTGACATCTGGGCCTGTGAGCTTGTGGATGTAAAGAATCCGATTGAGTACAGCACGTGCAGACTGGAACGTCAGACTCCTTTGGACAGGATGTAGAGCACCTGCACATTGTCGAAGCTTTCTTGCCTGGGGGCAAGCACGACAGGGCAACAGCGTGAACAGAGCGTCACCACCCCGTTCTTGTGAACGGCTCGGTCCCGGCCCAGTTCCAGGATCTGACGAAAGCCAAGCCAAGCTTCTGAGCAAATGCTTGCAGTTCAAGCTGGCGGGAGATGTCGGCGACACAGGCGCGATAAGGAGCCGTATGAACTCCGCGAGTTTCCTGAGGAGTTCGATTCGACGATTTCTGAACATCCGACTGAAGGAAAAACCGTGCTTCACATCCCCCGTCGAGTGTCAAGTGCATCCACAAGCCGCATGAACTGAGCAAAGAAGTGGACTTTGGCAATCCATGTTAAGTGAAGCGCTGTGCAGACCTGTCGGCAGCATGCAAAACGCAAAGACCGGACTGCCATACTGCGTCCGCGCGCATGTCAAATCTCACTAGACTCACTAGACTGGCCTCTGACTGCAGCTGCGGGCTAAGCTGTCCCAGGAGCTCTTGCTGATGCCTCGAAGCCACAAAGCAGAGCTGCAAGCGGGACTGACTTGCTGGCATTCCGTGGTCCGGTCTTCTGCTTCTAAACAGTCCAAGGGACAGATGCTGCATCAGAAACCGATTGGAGAGGAAGAAGCTGCGCAAGCGACTTCGCATGTCGAAAGGCAGCTCCTGGTCTGCCATCATCCTGTACAGTGCGAGAGCATCAAGTGATCACAGTCAGAAGAGAAGCGCGTCTTTCTCAAAGCCTCCTTTCAGAGCCTCAGGATCGGCCTCTATGGCAGCATCGGGCTTGGTCGTTTTGCCACCTGTGTTGGGCTCGCCTTTGCTGTGGAACACATTTTTGCGCCTGCCGGTTGTGCGTTTTGCCCACGCTCCGAGGCTCTTTCTCTCGCGGTTTCTACATTGCCAACAAAACCTGGAAAATCCTCTGAAAGCTAATTAGTAGCTATTCCAGCTTCCTAGCATTGCTACGGTTACAACCCTGGAACAGCAGGAAAGCTTGTAGAGTTTCTAGATGTTCTAGCATGAGAAGCTAGTGATATGTCTGACATTTCTATCGCTGAAAGCCTCACTCACAACTGCCAATGAACTACGATTCTGGTTTCCGTGTCGGATTCCTTACTCCCCAGATTCATCTAATCCCCAAAGCGGCACCGCATCGCATGTAAAGGTATCACCATAACGCACGCCGCATCGGGATCGGGCGCCCGCAACAGATCGGATCATGCGACACTATAATCCCCATTCCCAAACCCTAAACCCTCTGATCTGTTTCGGGATACTCAGCTGGTATCTGCTCCAGCAACACCTCTGCTTCCTCTACGAGGATTCGTGGCCCTCTGCACCTAGGTCTTTGTGCCCGCGGCTTTCTCCCTCCCATGTGGGGCAGGTGGGAATAAGATTTCTTTCTCCTACGTAGCCCTTGTCGGAAAAGAAAGCCCCTGACTTTTTTCTGCGTGCTCTGACTCTGTCTCTCTGCCGCGTGTTCGGACACCCTTTACCCCCTCACAGTTTGTGGTGAGATGCTTTTGAACCGTGTTTGGGTATGTTCGGATCGCCTTTCCCTGTGGGTCCTCCCATATTGAGACGGGTAGGAATGGGACACCCCATTCCTCATTACAAGGCGCCACCTTCCCCGTAAAAGAAGACACCTGCTCCTCTCTCCACGGAGGAATCTTCCTTTGCCCCGCTTTGCCTGTCCTTGCGCTCTTTGGGGATTCTTACAGAGCCCTGCCGGGTCCCGTTGCAGGCGCTTCCCGTAGAAGCCCTAGGCCCCCCTAGAATCCCCTGGTCCTGTTCAGATGGTGCATCTTCTTCCGGAAGATCTGGCTCTCTGCGTTGAAGTCCGCCACGATTGCACACACCTCGCCCAAGACGTATGCCCAGCAGAGGCCAGACGACATCACCATGAAGATGCAGATCAGGCGTTCCACGATGTTTTTGGGGCCCAGATCGCCATAGCCGACGGAAGTCATAGTGTATGAACAGAAATAGAAGGACGCTATGTACGTGGTGAGGGCTGAGTCCCGATCAGCGCCGAAAAGCAGATCTGTGGCCTCGATGTCATCCAGCCATTGCGGTTGGTCTCCATCAACCTGATTGGCATTATTGACATTGTTGCGCTCAGTGGATTGTGCAAGCCGGCGTACCAACAGAAAGTCCTAGCGAAACCACGGACGAGTTGGGCGACCGGCCAGGGCATGCTGAGAGAATCTGAGAATCTCTCACCTCCTAGCATCCCCTGGCCCTAGCTCTGGCACCAAAAGCTTGAAGCCAAGGCAACCAGCTGCAGCGTCATGGCCCAAACGCACGACTGCCAGTGAACCATGAGGAGGAGAATAACAAGGAATCGGAAAAGTGCGATGTGCCTAAGTTGACGGTGCCAGACACATGTTTTGACAAAAACCTCGGGGCGTCTGTAGCAAGCTTTCTGCCAAGTCTCTGGTAAGGTATAGAATAGGGAATCTCGAAGCGGTGCATGATCCTGATAAACGAAAGTGGTAGCCAAGACAAGCATAACAGCATAGGAAGTGGGAAGTGCGTTACATGTACGTAAGATATGTTATTAGTATTAACCCTCTAAACCCTAAACCTATAAAAAGGTCTATAAACCCAAACCATCCCAAACCTAAACCCTGGCTTAAACCCGAAACTACTCTAGGCCCAACACGACCTACGATCATCTCCGGAAACGGCACGGCCTGGACGTCTTCAGGAGCCGGAAGAGCTTCAGCAAGCGGAGCACTCGCAAAGCCCGGATCGATTTCCAGGACGCAACACCCTCGTTGCCCATGGTCAGACCTTGTGACTGAGGGCTCCTAGTACGGTTGCGACTTCTACGGCTACCACACAGATCAACCCTGCAGTCCATCGCTCTCACTGCACTCGAGCCGTCTGCTTCTCTTTGCATAGCTGAACCTACCACTGGGTCGTCCGGTTTTGTTCGACCGCCTGTGTGGCCATGACTCCACGTTTTGACAGCGGAATTTGCCGAACGCAGACGAGGGGCCGAGAATGTCGAAGGGAACAAGGGTTATCACATCAAGTACGAACCACGTCTTCAAGTAATTGAGTGCTATCCTCAGCTGCAGCGCGGCAGGAGTGAGCGGTCCGTCTAGGCCTCAAGCAAGAAACTCCTGAAAACTCTAACATGCTTGCGAATGAGGTTTCCAAAATAGCCTTCGCAGTCCACTGCGAATTTGACCTTTTGACATGCAGCTACACCAAGCGTGCAGTTGCTTGCAACATCGCACAGAATCAGGCCGAATGCTGTAGCCGAGATATTGCATTTCTGTGATTTCGGTGAAATGCGGTTTTCGACAGTTTCCTTATGACTTAGCAAAAGCACCATCTGCATCATACGCCGCTTCCAAATCTCTGCATGCTTTCTGCTGTTCCGCTTGGCTTCGTCGAATGGTGTCTACCCGGCTTCCTGCATGACTAGACTTCGCACGGCCCCACTCTGAAACAGCTCGAGGTTCTTGTGGAGACGGACTTCCCACTGCATGCCGCGAGCAGTCAACCGCCGGTAAGAAGTGAAGAACTGAAGTATGGAGTCGATGAGGAAGACGGTGTCCTTGCCAGAACACAACCCTGCTCACTAGCTTCCACACATTGTCACATCTCCAAACATAGCACGACAAGACCCGTCTAGAACAGGCAAGGGGCCACCACAACACTAACCACCAGGGAGAAGTCCCATTGGACCTGCGAGACTTCCATTATGCTGCTTCAAACGATCGTCTCCAGCACCTCTAGCTCTAGCACCTCCACAAGCACGTGTCAGGTGTACCTGGAAGAAGCCGATCTGAAGTGGGGTGACGAGCGCCACGAAGATCAATGCCGCGCAGGTAATACACTGCCAACCCGTGCCAAACCAATTGCTTTCTGGATTGATGACGTACCTGAGGAAACAACAGGATGCATACTTCATGATCCTTACGACAGTGCTTGTGTTGATCACTCATCTGCCTTCAACCTGTCCTTTATGGCGTCCCTTGATCTCGCACCGCTGGAGCTGTCCAAGTTGCCACGGCTTCCCCTGAGAGAACTCCTTGGTTTTCCCTGCGCGCATGATCCTTGGCAGCGTTGCTTTGACAGCATCCAAGCCTTGGGCAGGAAACCCCTGGCTCTCTACATTCCAAGCGTCATGAAGCCTATCTTCTCCTCCTTGACCAACTTCGAAACCTGTGATCTCCCAACCTCATCTTCACGAATCGTCACGGCAAGCCTTTCTTGGTAGCAAATGTTGGCGTATGCAGACAAGACACCCAAGCTCTCGACTTTGACGGATCGAGCTGCTGGCCAGAAGTTTCCCAGGACTGCGTGTACAACTTGCTCAGCTCTTGCACCTGTTGGGACAAACTTGAAAGTGAGATTCCTGTCTTGATGATAACCTTTCAAACCTTCCGCTGCGGAGGTGCGCTTTAATGTATCCTGAGCCTGACGGCGAACAAGATGGTATCCGGCCTCCGCGAAACTGGTGTTGGTGCCCACGGATGTCGAGGGGTCAGACTTTTTCAAAGAGCTTGGTTCCTCGACCTCAGCACGTGCTAGCCGTTCGCACACTCCTGCGGCGAAAGTACTTCCGCGTAGAACAAGGTGAAAAGAGAGTGGGAGTGGGACTGGTCCGGTTCTCATGATCTTCATCATTCGAAGCTTCCTACACAAGAAAACTGGTTCTATAGCGAAGAACATCGTGCGGCGGTGCTCGATCGCTGGAATCCAAATTTCCGTTTCGACTCAGGGAGAATCAACTGACCACCATCCTGAGCACCCGGGTTGTCTTCACCGAGGAACATACAAGGAAGTGGCGTTGGTAACACCTTTGAAACTCATTCGGATGGCTGATTTAAAGGAAAAAACGTGGTGAGAAAAAAGACGCTACTCCACATCTGCGGCCTCAGTGTGGAGGGGTAACCGGCCGAGAAACGACCCTGACAGAAGATACATCAGCGGAAGGAAAAACTGATTTGTTTTCAGATGGCCAGTGCTCCTCGCCTTCAAGAACCTGCGGAAATGGAACGCAAACGAGTGCCGATGTAAACGGCACTTTGGACTGCACGACTCCTTGTCCAGTGATGTGCTGGAGCGGACACAGCGTTTTTTGGATATGGAGACAATCATGGATGTGTACGATCACGACGTCTTCTAGAAGGAATGCCTGTGAAGTCACGAGGCTGGCAGGTGAAGACAACAATGTAACCAGGGAGCACATCAAGAAATGGGACCAGGGACCAAGACTGGAAGAAACCGAAGAAAATAACAACGCTACCCGTTCCCAGGTCAGGATGCAGGAGGCGGGGGCACATGGCTGGATGCAGCCAGGCGCGGCCCGGAGATATTCCTTCGCACCTTTGGAAACCAGGAGAGTGTTGCGGCTCCATGTCCGGCGTGCTGCGCATGAATGCACAACTTTATATCCACAAAGCTCGCTGCCAAGCCACCTGATCGTAACCAGCATCCTCTAAAGAATGATCGGTGGCAGCACGCTTTGTTGGAGCGACCTCAGTCACGTACTGTCGACATATGGCGCACCTGCTTGCCAGCTGCTTACAGTAAGATCCACATGGCAAGCGGTGTTGGGGTTGACACCCGAGCAACGAGGCATGCAAGCTTGAACGTTGTAAACGAAGTCAAGTTGCGCTGGCTGGCCGTCGAACCTTATGCCGACGTGAACCGTTACACAATGGGCAAGTGCGCTTCCTGCCGATCCTGGGCCTCCCGAGAATTTAAAATTGGATCCCAAACCCACCACATTCTGCCCAGCAGCATCAGAAGGCTCCGATCGAAAGCTGGAGCCTGTCTTGTTTCCCGCGTCGGCATGCCCTTGCGCAATCTCCTGTGCCGAGGCTGCCCGAGACTCTCACCAGCAAGAAGCACACGCTCTGCATGAAATGTTAAACTCGAGGGTTCGCGGCCGCTCGCCAATTAAAGCAAAGTGTCTTTGAGCTGCTCATTCTCCAGTGAAAGCTGCTGAAGCTTTGCAGCTTGCCGCTCAAACTCCTGAGTGAACATGGCCCGATGACCACATTGCAGATATCGTGTCCTTGCATGACCTCATGTCTCGCCGTTGGTACTGTCATGCCAGGCGTGCAACAGACAGCCTATCGATTCTTTCAACCCCGGATCGGCTCGTGCATCACACAAGTATGAGTACCCCCTTGTCGGGGGGGGTCTGAGGCCCCCGCCCCCCCTTATAAGGCTGAATCCGTTTCAGCCACCCGCATGAAATAGAATAGAGCCTAGGGGGGGTAAAGGTTCCGTGAAATTTCAACAGGGGCGCTCGGAGGGAGAGGTAGGTAGGCTTGAGTCCGCAGATCTGTCCATGCAGTGAAAATTTCGGCACTCGAAAATGTGCTTGAGGTACCTGGGGAAAGGGTTGGGCGGCAAGCAGGAAACTGCTGGGGGAAAGGGTTGTGGCCACGGCCGTGCTTGCGGGAAAGTCTAGTGGTAATTTAGTAGATTTTTTAATAGAAATCTAGTAGCAGCCTAATAAAAGAGGCTACCATATCTACCATAGCCCCGCATAGTAGGAATTTAATGGTTTTCTAATAGAAATAGAGTAGCAGCCCAATAGAGGATGCCACCTAGCCTCGCATAGGAGGAATTTAGTAGATTTCTCATAGAAATATAGTTGCAGCCTTAAAACCGAGGTTACCGGAGCCCCGCATGAGAAATACACTGGCGCCCTTACCATCCCGTACCAAGGAGGCCAACACATAGATAGGCACGTTGCTCACAGCCTTTGATTATAGTAATCCGCCGAGGCCGAAGGCCTCTGGCGTCTTGATGGTTAATACTAACCAACCCTCTACCTAATCCTTCTCCCTGCACCCCAAACGCAAACTTCCACCCGTTTTTAGCGACTGTTTTCGACCCCCTTGCCCGGCTTCCGTCCTTTTTTGCTGCCGAATTTGCCTCCCCCCCTCCTGCTCCCCCCCTCCCGGGCCCCTCCCTACCCCCCCCCCTTCCCCCCTCCTCCCCCTTTCCGCCCCCTGCCCCCGCCCTCCCCCTGCCCTGCCCCCCCCTCCCCTGCCCACCCTCCCCCCTCCCTCTCTCTTCTCCCCCTCCGGCCCGTCCTCCCCTCTGCCCTCCTCGCTCGTTTTCCTTTTTTGGTTCCCCACCCTTCCGTCTTGTCCTGCCCTCGCGTGTTTTTTCGATTGCCTGCTCGTTTTCTTTCACCTTTTCTTCTCTTGCGGCCTGCCCCCGGCTCCACTGTCTTTTCTTCTTATGTTTCGTTTGCGTGCTTCTTTCCTGCTTCCTCGTTGAAGCTCTCGTTTTGCTGTTTTGTTCCGGCCCCTTTTCCCACCCTTCCGTCTTGTCTGCACTTCTTTTGGCTTGTTTTCCTTCCTTCCCCCCTCCCCCTCTTGCTGGCCCCCCCTTCCTCCTCCGGCCGGCCAGTCCACCCTTCCGTGTTGTCCTGCCCTCGCGTGTTTTTTCGACCTTTTCTCCTCTTTCGGCCTGCCCCCCACCGAGCCGGCTCCACTGCCTTTTCTTCTTATGTTTCGTTCGCGTGCTTTGGCTTTTTCGGCCTGCCCCCCCCGGGCCGGCTCCACTGCTTTTTCTTCTTATGTTTCGTTCGCGTGCTTTGGCTCTCCTGCTTCCTCGTTGAAGCTTCCCCCCCCCCCCGACCCTCCCTCCCTTCCCCGGCCCCCCTCCCCCCGGGCCTTCCCCCGGCCCCTTTTCCCACCCTTCCGTCTTGTCCTGCCCTCGCGTGTTTTTTCCATTGCGACTTTTTCGTGCACTTCTTTTTGGCTTGTTTTCTTCCCCCCCCCTCCCCCCCACCCTTCCTCCTCCGGCCCCCCCTTCCTCCTCCGGCTTCCCCTTGTTTTTTGTCTTCTGCCTGCTCGTTTTCTTTCACCTTTTCTTCTCTTTCGGCCTGCCCCCGGCTCCACTGTGGGTTTTGCTGCATGTGTTTGCTCTACACTTGCCACACTTCTCCAAGTAGCCCTGACCCTGCAACTAAATTACACCTGCTTTAAGAGGCCCTTCGCAGTTTGGCCCCTGCTCTGCGCCCCTGCTGGCCCTACTGCAGCCGGCGGCCGAGGCGGGCTGCGTAGCATTAGAATTACTAGCATCGAATGGCCATATGGTGTTGCAAAGCTAGCCTGAAGGCCCTTGAGAGCGCACTAAGCCGGTGTCCTGCGGATGCGAACGGCGACTCTCTTGAAATGGAAGATGACTCGCTATCCCAGGACAGCCCTGAAATTTTAAGCCCGACCCCCACCCCCCAGGTCTGAACCCCCACCTCGACCGAAGCTGCCCTGAAATATTTCAGAGCCTCACCCCCCCCCCTCCGTTTCAAGCCACAAGGGGTGGGTGACACACAAGTCTCAACTGGAGTCAGATCCGAAACACTTCATTCCGCTCTCTTTCTTTGCACCTTGCGTTTTCAAGGTTTCACAGCCACCCGTGCCCAGCCATTTCGTTTGTGGATTCAGGTCCGCTGGACTGGGAGTGCCCCGCGGCGCTGAGACGCAGATTCCAAAGCCGAGCTTGTCCAAAGCCAAGCTTCGCTGCTCAACTGGGTAAGCTGCTCGATCACGTCTCGGAAGCTCGACGCCATGTCGATGGTGACTCCCTTTTATCGTTCTGTTCTGAGAGCTCTAGCTATTGACCAAGGGGGCGGACTTTACGTGCTTTGGTATGGGTCGCCCGGCTCATCTTTCTCATCAGCTGAGAGCCAAACAGCTCGCAAGCCGAAGGGGCTTGGGCGCTTCTCGATCACAAATGGATTCAATGACTTCACGGCCCTTCACCAGAACAGACATTTCCAGCTTTGACAGACCTGCGGCATCCTCGGCATTTTGAGATGTCCCTGCCTGGCTAAACTGCGTGAGCAAAAGTCCCATCTCGGGGTCCACCTCCAAGCCTCCCACTCTCTGAGACAATAGCAGAGTAGCAAAGACATGCAAAGACGAAGACTTCAAACTTCAAACTGGATGCGATCTCCAAAGCCCAGCCTTTCGCAGCCGACTCTGGGAAGCGGTGTGGCCTTACAAACCATGCAAGCGCAAGGCGAGTCTACTTGCTGCGAGGCAGAACAAGCGCTCTAGATGTCGAGGCCCCGACAGCAAACTCCTCAAGAGTCCTACAGAACATGCCGCGCATGTCGAGGTGACCCGAAGCTTAGAGCATCTCTTTTCGAGATGCTGTACACGATCATACAAGCCATCTGCACTGACAGACTCGCCCAACTGTCCCAGATAACACTTGCTTAGGCCGTACATCCCAGGACAGATCTGCTGTCGGACCCTTCGCGCAGCCTGCACGTGGTTCGCCCGGCTTCTCCAAGCAGCACAGAATGACCATCCTGCCAAGATTAGAAGATATTAGAAGTCTCCGTTGTTCACCATCCATCGCACGGGCCTCTTGATGGTCGCTAGCTCTAGCGCCTAGATTCTACCGAGGTTCGAGGCCTTCGTGCCAGATTCGAGCAGACTGCAAAGGCCCAAACTCAAAACAACGTCGAAGTACTGACTGTAGCCCTTTCGAAAGCAGCCTCCAGAAAGGCCCCTCACATCCCAACTTACTGAACTGCAAGGATGCTGAAGATCCCAGCCTGGGAAGGACTAAGAAAAGCTCCACGTCGCAGTCCGTGCCTGAAGGATATGCCATATGCGAAAACAACGCTCAGCCGCTCGGCACCAACACACAGCGAGGAACGATTGATACAGGTGCAGTGCAGCATCAATATATAGAGACGGCAAGTGGATGTGCAAGCCAAGTGAGCCAAGCTGCACATGTTCGTGAATGCTGGGGCCAATCTCTGGGCAACGCGAAATTCGGCAACCTGAGATGTTCTTCGGGCAAGAATTGAGTCCAGGTCTGTGCAGGAAACAAGAATCAGGGGCACAAGCCGTTTAGCTTCGTTCAGAATAACTGCTGAATAAAACATCGCCCTGAGGGTCATATCTCGGATCAACAGCGCATCGGCATTACCATAGCAAGCTTTCTTCCATGTCCGGATTCGAGAGTCGAACTTACTGCAAGACCGCGTGACACAGTGAGCATCTGCATGATCACTTTGCAGAGCAACGGTGGCCGACGACCCGGTGAGCTTGCAGTGGGCGGCAGGAAGGTATGTCGGTGGTGGTAGTGATTGGCTAGGTTACTTGAGGTTAGTTTATGTTTGCGGTTAAGGTAGGGTAGGTCCTGTGACAAGCCTACTGAAGAAGAGGCGGGGTGGGGATAGCAGTAGCAGCAGCAGGAAAGCAGTAGTAGTGGTAGCGCGTGGTCTGGGATTGGATCCTGGCCAGGAACTCTCTTACAGATCTCTGCCGCAGGCGGCCGGCACTTCCACAGCGGCCGAGCAGCGACGTCGTTGTTCGCGTCAAAAAGCACCGTTTGCCGGACGTACCGAGAACCGATCTCCCAGCTCTCCTGGCTCTCCCACACTTTTCACACTGAAGAAGTTGGACCGTCTGTGGCTGCCACGGTCCTCCCAGTCCACGAGCCTCAGTGGCTTACTGCACATCCTCCGAACACATCCACGATGTAAGACGTGCGCTGCAGTGGCTGAACTAAGCGAAAGGCCTTGCGACGAGCCCCACATTGTTGCAAAGATGCCTTGGGCCATGAAGAAATCGACTGCTTTGCATGCAGCTTCCTGACCCTTGCTTCAGCCTTTGCCGCCTTTACTTTCTGTCGGCTGTCGGGAAGCATCGAGGCTTGGAGTTTCCAGATTTAGCAGCGCTGCACAAGCCAAGCCAAACGAGCCCGGCCAGGCTCGTACTGGGCGCACTTCCAAAGCGCTGACGGGCCCGGAGTCGAGGCTTCGAGGCCCGGGCGGGTCGACTCGCTCGAGGCACTTCTTCACCTCTCGCAGATACCTGCACATCGCTTCACATCGCATGACTGACACGGGCCACAGAGTGGGCATGCGGAGCCCCGGCCGGCGCATCGCTTCAAAGGAGCCAACCACATCCTGGTGTTCGGCGTCTGCCCGTGCTCTCTAGTGCTCTCGGACGGAATGCACAGCATCTCAGGCAAGGCGCCACTGCCATGGACACGCCGGCACTTCTTGACACTGCATCTTGGATGGCAGCTGCTGCGAAGCCCTTGCCCTCGCCAGCTGCCACGATATCTTTACCTCAATTTGCAGTAGTGACATGGTCGGGAATATTCACATGCTGCTCCATCAAGATAAGATCTCGGGATCCCGATCTCGATGCATCCAAGGTGCTGGTGAGACTGAATCTGCTGAGGACTGCGGCTGCCTAAGGCAGGACCAAGACTGCCGCGTCAGATCGTGTCACGGAAATGCACAGAGCACAGAGCACATCACCAACCTTTCAAAACCGGCAGGGCCGAACTCCGGCCGAAAGCTCGGTACTCGGCAGACTCCAAAATATCATAGCCTGCGGGGCAGAGGCAGAGGCATCGAACTGGAACTTTGAGCTTCGCTCAACGCTCCCCTTGAGTTTTGTCAAGGCGCCCAAGTCATCACGACCCTTGCGCCGGAAATTGGCAACGGAGTTGAGATGCGCAATCCCTTGCCTTAGTGCTGTATTGGTGCGACGGAGTCATAGAGAGTCAGCAGACTGGTATGGTAAACTGTTGCATGCTTGGGCATCTAGACCAGCCAAGCATAGCTTGCGACAACACCAAGAACAATGCAGCCTGCAAACATGAAGCAAACCTAGGTCCTAGAACTCTTTGCTAATTGAGTGGCACTAGCGCTCTCTGCACATCCTGACTTTCTTTGCCTTTGCCCACGTTTTCCTTCATGCAGGCAGTCGGAGGCGAACTACGGGTACCGTGAAGCATCCATGATCCTGTTGATGCGTCATGTGCGAAGACGTGCGAAGTATTGCATCGACAGTTCTTTGAGTTCACATATTTCAGGAGCCATGCTTTGCTGACGACCCCTTCTCGACTGCAGTCCTCCAGCATAGATAGTCGGGCCTCCAGCTCCACAGCCTGATCCCCAGAGCCCAGCTCAGCGTAGCATCCCAGAGTCCCAGAGCTCACAAACCCTCCGAAAGCACCAGGCCTTGATGATGAGCCTTCGAGCCTGCTCTTCGATGTCAATCAACTCAGCAATATACCTGGGCTACTGCAGCCCACGGCTACAGGGCGCACATATGAAGGCAACAATTTTAATTTCCAAAGCATTGAATGCGCCCGCCGCGAATCTCAAGAAATCTCTCACTTGCTTTCTATATGATGCTTCGGCACTTGTGTTCGAAGCCTGCCCAGGCCGCATCCAGAGCTTCCAGGACTGTACAAAGATCGGATCGCGCCTTGGCCAGAAAAGTGAAGCTTCATGAAGTCTCACGTCAAGAAGTGGGAAACCGGTGCTCAACGAACCCCGCAGTTCAACTCCAGATTCCAGATCCGAAACTTCTGCGCCGAGGGCACCGGATGTCTGGCAGTGTTTCCGTCGGGACCGGCGCAGGCCTCGACGAGTTGGGACAATTCTGCCCAAGCCTGCGCAGGGCATGGGGCACCCTCACAAGCCCCCCGGATGTCCATCACCTTTCTGTGCTTTCCAGGTCTTCAGGCCCCGCGCCTTTTGCAAAGCTTCGGCATGGCAAATTGCCTGTGCTCAGCTCTCTGACTCTCTGGCTTTGGGTTCTCGGCTTCCCATGCATACCCGTGCTTGAGAGTTTCTGCCTCTGGGCTCAGTTCGAACTTGTCCCCGTTCACCCAAATGGCAGAATGCTGGTCTGCACTGGCCTTTCGAGGCCAAGCCACTTCATGTCAAGGCATACTGAATTCTACAATGTGCAGCAAGATGTGTTGTGAGAGATTCGCATTTTTGGAGCCTCAAGTACGTCCACTCGGTAATGCCGTGCGTCGTCTGGGAAGAGTGCACCTGAAGTCAATCCAAGGAACTGCGAAAGAAATCGCCCCGCATGTCCAACATTTTGTACAAGGGAGCATCCACACTCAGAGTCGCATTTAAGTCCAATTGCACCGTGCCAGTGGCCTGGATCTCTGTGGACGATGTGTCAGAAAAGCAGAAAGCCCATGGACTAACCGACGTTTGGTGTGGATGGTGAGCTTCCATCCCGTACTCTGCACTCAACCAGGACACGGTAGTTCGCCGAGAACCTTTTGCGGTAGGCACGCGGAGCAGCCTCAACAAGGTAAACTTGCACGCACTCGGTCTACCACTTCGAGGCTTTAACTTGCGATGGGAGCAGCCCGCCTCAAGTCCAAACGTCTTGGCCGTAGTCTCTACCGCACTTAGAAAGATGGCGCAGGCACCTTAGCTCACAAGGCCAGGCTTCCACTCTACGTCCCATATCGTCTCATCACTCCCGCCCTATTTTCTCCACGTTTCGCACTCAAGCTGCTCTGCGAGAGATCTCCGGTTCTAGGCACTCGGAGCGCACAGAATTTACTAGTTGCGGGAAAGGTGCTGTAGCCAGCTTCGCTACCCACCTCGGCACGTCCTGCAAAGGGCACGCCCGTAAGGGGATATGCACAAAACCGATGCTGGACGATTCTGTGCAACACTTGAGTCTGCCTAATGACTTGGCGCTGCAGATTGCAAGCAAAAGCCACCGTGGCGCCGTCGCCTCCGTCTAGGAGAAGCGCCCGATGGGTACTGATGAGCTGTTCTATGGCTGCGCTCTCCTCGGGTTTTGTCACGGCTCTCTCAGACAGTCTGCCCACTAGGAGCAGTTTGCCACTGGTCTTTCTGAACCTTCTATCTGACCCCACTTTTCTGCCCAGTCTTGGCTTGCCAAGACGCTGCAGAAGTGGTTGTACCCCATCCGGTTGTAAGCCGTGACCACCCCGTTCGGATCATCTTTTGTCTCCCGCCTCGATGTCCTGGAGAGGAAAATCATTTATAGCTCTCTGGGAAGAGAATGTCGAGGCTCAAGCAATTCACGATAGAGCAGTGCTTAGCGATAGAGCGATCTCAAACAGGCTGTGTGCCTGTGCACCGCCGGCGAGGTTGCTCGGTGGCCAAAAGGCGCCGCACCAAACAACCTTGGAACGTGCAACCTTCAATGTGCATCTGCAACAATACACGTGAGCTCACACAGCATATGCTTCCACCAGGCAACAACTTTACTCCAAAGCAGAGGGTGTCCTTCCTTTGAGCCAAAGGTAGCCAGATGCCAGCAGCTCAGGTCACGGAGTCACGGAAGCGATGTCATCACAGATGCACAGAACGAACAGGGACAGTCCGGGCCTTACTTGAGAACACCGGGGCATAAAGTTGGAGAGAGAGGGAGGTAGAGAGAGAGAGAGAGAGACAAAGAGAGAGGAACGGAGCTGGAGGCACCGACTTTCCACTATCCTGAACAATTGGTTAGCTGTCAGGAAAATGTTCACCTGTGAACCAACAGGGGTTATCTAGGACGCAGGATCATGGCAGGTGTTGGGGCTTTACTTGGTGCATCAGCCAGTCGACTCGACCCATCCATACAGTGTTACAAGGGTCATCCAAAAACTTGTCTAAGGACATACACTTGAGGCCGGTCCACTAAACAGTGGACTGTCTCCCTGCATCATGCAAGGCATTGCATGGGCTAAGCGGCTAAGGCTGATAGACACATCCTGAAGCAACAGCAGAATACGCCGACATGCGCTGGCAAGGCCTGCTGCACCATCAAGAGATGTCCCACGTGCACCGGGCTGAAGTCGCCAGGGAAGACGAGCTGGCCAGAAAAGGCTGCAGCTTCCAGCCAGGTTCGTGTTGAGAAGCAACTGCAGTCTCGTCTGCGACTTGCGGTGTAGACGACAGGTGGGCTTGTACTTTGCCGAGCAATCATGCCGGAGAGGCCACAGCCATGTTTCGGCCACTTCGTTCGCTGAGCGCTTTCTCATATGCCTGCAAGACAGCAAGGAATGTTGCACCGCGGTGTGCTTCTGCGACAGTCCGCAGCACTCCCAGCCTGTCGGAAGTGATCTAAGGGCCACTCCGGGCCATCCTGCAAACGCATGGGATCTGAGCCATGGAGGGCAGTCAAGCGATCTGAGTATTCCCTACTGAGTGGGCGGCCATAACGGTGGAACCTCACTGCGCTTACGGCATCAACGAGGTGGGGAGCGGGGCTTGCGCAACTCAGGCAGATAGGCAACTGAGCATTTAGATCACATTGTGAGAACCGGCACAACCTACGTTGAAAGGACTTCAGACTTCAATATCTAACTGTCGCGTGGCTCTCAAGCTGCTCCTCCTACTATTGTTTGTCTGCCGGCTGGGCGAATCGGATGCCACTTTCCGACAAGGCACTCATGGTAGAGGCGTCTCCACGGCAAGTGGGCGCAAGCTGCGTTCAGAGCCAACGGCAAACGGGCATCGTGAGGTGGGGAGACACCCAGAGCTACTGGCCCCCTCATGTCATGTCATGGAGAGAACGGGCAAGCTTGTTGTTTGGTCCGTGGTTTTCCCGCTCAGCTATCTTTGGGGAGTCATTGACTGTGCGGCCGCCTAGGAGCCAGCGTGCTCAACCGATGGAACGTAGAATCCCTCCCGCCGTGGCAGTCCTACGAAACATCATGGTAATCTAATATCTGCTGTGCCTTCGTCAGCCAAGCCCTTCTGAGGAAGCGTGAGAAGCTTTAACGACTCAACGATAGCTGCTTGATGATCCCTGAGAGACTGAGTGCATGGAATCAGCACGAAGGGCCCACGAGACGTTCCAGCTCGGCCGCATGTTGCACAGGCCACTCTTGGATCTGCAAACAGCTCTTCCTCCACATCCCAAGCAAGTCTCCTCTTGAGCTTCGACTGCAACCTTGCTTGAATGGAGCCGTACTCTTTCAACACTTCACCACAACCGGAAAGTGCTCAGATCTTCGGGTAGAGCTTCTCATGAACGATGGCAGTTCTTTGGTGCTCCTATGAGCTTTCATGTCCGAAGAGCTGCTCCAGGCATTAACACTTTCGGAGTTCAGAACGACCGACAGCTCGTCCGAGGCAGCAGCTACAAGTTCAGGAAGCAGGCATGCTTCATCGACAGCTCCACGACTCACAGACTCACGTGCTTGCCATAGAAGTAGTCGTCATCATCAGGATTCGGACCGAAGCCTTGCTGCAAACTCGTGTTACTTGTAGCAAACTTCAAGGCGCAAGGCTGCTGGCTACGCACCAAATCTGCACCAAGACTCCACAGAGTCCGTTGGGGACCTCCTCGAAGGATGGATGGACTGTCCTGTTCTCGAGCTCCCGCAGTGCCCAGTAGAGACATCTACACTCACAATAAGGGAGCTACCTGGCCTCTGCATCTGCTGCCGCGGCTCTCGTCGCTGATGGCGGAGCTTGCGCTCCTCCCTTCGCTGCTCCTTATAAGCCACTTCAACCGACGCAGGAGAAGCAATTCCCATCCAAGCTCTGCCGTTGCTTTGTGCACATTGACAGAGGACAGTTGCTCAGCTCGCTTCCCGCATATTCTGGGCAAAAAGCTCCTGGCTGAGCGAGCTGAAGAGTGAGTGCTACAGTACCCTCTCCTCTCAAAACTCGATCTGCCGACTGGACTGTCTCTGCCCAACATGGACTAGAATCAGGACATGCGCTCTGAATCCTTCGGATACAACGCAAGCCTTGCGGAAGCCAGGCAAGATACAACAATGAGGCAGTTGTTGGACCGCTGGAGGGCTGAGGGTTTTCACAAGGGTGAGGTTGTGATTGGAACTTCTGGAGCAGGGCCAAATGCATGCTCCAGTTGCAAAATGGTACAAGTTCTTGCTGATACACTACTTTGCTGTGACGTTTGAGTCCCCCGAGCTTCCTTTCCAGGTGTTACTTGAAGTGGAACTGTGTAGCTCCGAGTCTCCTCCAAAGCTGGCAGCTGCGGAGCTGGCAGGACAGGCTTGCCTCCCGCAGCCTCAGAACTGGCAAAGGCAAGCAATCCTTCGTGACAACTGGGCATCGTGAGCTATGTGGCCATGTGCAGACAGCTGAACCGTGCCTGCTCCGCCCACTCGGGGCTGCTGATTGTAGGAACCTGACCACATCCGCTGCTCTCAATGAAAGATATCCAGGAAGGACTGGACCCGGAGATGGCAAAGGAACCACAAGACTCTAAACGGGATAGGGCAAATAACGGGGACTCGTGTGAGAGAACCATGTCGTACCTGATATGGCATCAAGAGACGCTGTCGCAGCTAATTCTTCCACGTAGCCGGTCTGCGGAGTGGTCCAGAATGAGCCCTTGGCATGCAGGTATCCTTCTGCGCTTGCTGTGCGTCGTTTCCATAAGACCCAGACGGTCGCGCAACATCCCGAAACTCTCTGCCGGGGCTCCTCCAGAACCAGTGCATTCCAGAAGAGTTGCCTCACGATTGAGTCACCATCACCGGCGACCTGAGCGGCGACCGCACCGCCAGGCCAAGCCACGGGTCGTCCTCGGGCTGTCACAAGCGAGAATAAGTCACCACAAGAATCGCAACACAAGCCATGCTAATCGTCACCGACCTGAACATGCAGCTGCACTGCTGTGGTGGGTGGTGGTAATTGCCTTGGGCCTCTGGCGACTAAGCCTCCAGAGACAGGACTTCCGAGTACATCCCTCAGTGCGGTCGTGCAGCATGAAAGAACCTTCTGGCCACCCGATGCCACCTGCTTCTGACACATCTGAGCTTCCGGGCCGCGAGACATCACTGCTGCTGCAGATGTCCTTGTGCCACGTGGTATGTCGGCCACGGCAAGCCGTTGCACACACGTATAGCGCTAGGACACCGCAGCTCTCGGCAAACATCGGCCTCTGAGGCTGACACCGAGTCAGCCCCCGTCCCCTGCAATGCCAGTGGTTCTTCATCAATTCGGCTCAAGTGTGACTCTGACCACCCGTCCGCCCTGTCTGACCGATGCCAGCAAACACCGAGATGGATGCAAAACGGAAGCTGAGCGCTTGAGCAGCTGATCATCAAATACCGTGGGATGGGCTGTAAGAGAAGGCGAGCTAGGCTCCCAATATCTGTGTGAGATCACCATCCTTTTTCGAGGATGCTCGTAGTGTGGCCTGTCCAAACGGGCGTCAAATTTCCTGTCAGCCGAACCTTCACGCACACCTGCGACCTACACGAACGTGTAAATACCACCCGGAAATCCCAATCACCTGCCATCGGGACAAAGCCCCTCCGCTCAACAAGTTCAAGTCGGTCGGAGTTTTTGATTCCTGGGAACTCTGACTAAAGGGAAGCTAAAACAGTCAATGAAACGAGTATACCTACGACGCCGTAGGTCTAAAAAATGCATCTCCAAGGGCTGCACCGGTGACAGATCTGAGGGCCGACTACTGATGCCCTGAGTGCAATCCGCGTACTCCGATGTCGCTGCTCTCGGCTCTCCGCGTGCTAATCTGCTAATCAAAGGAACAGCTGAATAGCTTAAAAACTGGGGCCGGGGCTGGTGACGTGTCCAGCCCTCTGGGAGACAAGGCCTGCACGGAAGCACAGCGCTCCCAAGACCTCGCAATGCAGTGCCAGGGCTGCGGCGCGGGGGCTCAGAGCAAAGTCTGAGGGTCTCCGAAGTGCGGTGCCGGCCTGCCAGATTCAGAGCACCTTGAGGAAAGAGTGCGCCACGCTTTCACGGGTCTGCGCCTTCACGGCAACAGCCGGGCTCGTTGGCAGAGCCGGAGCCTTTGTGCCGTTGCACAGTCTCCAGGCTACTGCTACAGTGCAAGCGAAATTTGTCGGTTGCTGCAAGGCCCAGAGGCTGATTCCTCAGACCCTGGCGGGAAACTCTGGAAGCGTCGCAAACTGGGATGCCTCCACCACACGGACAAACATGTGCCCTTTTTGGGTAGCCTGAATATTAGGTGCCGTATTATATTAAGGACCCAAAAAGGGACCCTAATTTTGGCAACCACCTATGTGGAAACACAAGCACGCACTAAACACGAATCTGCTGCCTGGGTTAGTTAACGGTTAGTGCACAGAAGCACAGCGAACACGTAAGACTCACCTCGCGTCCAATGTGTGTCCAGTTCATCGCCATCGATACCTGCAACATTCGCCGCTTTGGTCAAGGGATGACTTGACTTCCTCGTGCAACTGTCGAGCTGTGTTTTTGCTCGGGTCTCTCCGAGGCCAGCTTCTCTGAGCAGGCCCCAATGAGCACAGCTAAGTGTGTCGGAAGTAGTTTAAGCAAGTTTTCCTCAATCGCATGTCCGTGTGTGGGAAGTGAGTCCCTGCCTGTTCCGTCGCGTGCGGACTGGGTGATCTCGTGCGCACGGTGACGGGGCTGTGGGCCCGGGCCTTCGACAAGAAGCTTGAATGTGACACGGAGAAATATTGGGGCTGACTGTGAAACTCGCCATCCCTCACATCCTCTGCGCGCTTGGGCGCCAGCCGGTGCCAGATAAACTGGCCTGATCTAGCTGAGCTTTCGGACTGGCTCTCTACCACCAGACGAGCTTGCTTGTTACGCAGCATGAAGTTGAGGTGCCTGCAAAGCCAACCTCCTAACGTCTCACCTCCACGGCGCCCATGCTTTCTCGGATCCCTTCGGTGCATCGTTCATTAGCGGGCTGCAGGCATCTGGGCTGGAAATGCCCCCAGATTTCTCAAGTCTTGCTTCGTCTACTGCCTCAATGCTCGGACGAGCCGCGACTAGCCTGCATGCGTCCATACCTAATGTGCCTACTTGGAGGTGAGAGAGCTTCTGCCGCATTGCCCAAAGACCAGCAACCAGTACCAACCGTAGTGGGTTCACAGTGTTGTCCACAGGAAACCTGCGGCGTCTTCCCGCTGCCTTCGGCCATGTTGCAACATCGAAAAATGCACAGGCAGGGGCAGACAGTATGCAGATACGCAAGGACGGCAGAAGGACCGTATTCTTCAAGCCTGACTTGAGAACAAATCTGGGAGGCACGGGCAGCTATTGACATTTTAAACAATGAAATCCTCGGAGTGGCCGCTGCTATGCTGAGTGATGAGTCTCATGAGTCTTATCATCAAGTCCCTGTATCACCGGGTGGCGCATAGGCGTTTGGACAATAACTGTCGACTGCGCAATACATTGACCGAACACAGCGAGGAAGTCTGGAACCTAAACAAACACAGTGGCGGCCACTCCTTCCTAGTCTGCAACGGGCAGAGCTACATCTCGGCGTCTCAGACATGCATTCTGTTCATGACATGAGAAACTCTTACCTGTGCCGTACCATGCGTAATCCAACAACACCACTACTGCCTACTTCCTGCTCGTAGTTGCACATACTCTTGTAGATGACGCCGCGCACGAGACATGAAACAGCGCTTCAACGAGCGCCTGATCGAGCTACGGTAGTCGAGCGACGGCAGCGGGAGGGGGAGGGGGAGGGGGAGGGCTGCCACAGGTGATTGCCAGGAACGCCGGAGATCGCGCTCACAACAGCATTCGCCCACGTCGGACATGGCTTTTTGCTGACGAAGGTCTGTTGAAGAGGCTCCACGTAAATCTCCGCTTGATACTTCGCCTTTCAAAGCCAAAGCTCAAGCAGAAAGTGAACCGATGCCAACGCTTGCAGACGGTACTGACGACCAGCTCTACTCATAATCAAACGTTTAACTCCAATGCCTCCTCGCCCAGCTTCAGCTGGCAGCGCACGTGCTCATGAGCCCACTGATTGCCCATGGATTTCAGGATCCACTTCTTCTTCCTTGCACAACGGACTCGAAGAGATACCAAAGTCAAGAACCTCGTGACACGTGCACTCTGTGAGCTGGCCTCAAGTCAACCTGGATGTTCATCTCCTTACGCGCACTTTCTAGCGCATCCTTCAAAGAGTCTTTCTGGAACCTTATAATACTCCAAGGCGGAGGTCAAATCACAAAGACGCGTTGATGTCAACTGCCATCGGTAAGACGAAGGTAATTTACAATCGTGGTCGTGACTGAACTTCATGTTCGTCATGTGCGATTCGACAGAGGCAGAAGTCGAACGAGGGGTGCAGAGCTGTGATTGCAAAGCACAACGTACGCAGCACACATGCAACCACCGAATGCATGCCTGCTGACCCTTGTGCAAAATTGTGCAAATCGGCAAAACAAAAATCAAGAGGGAAGGAAGGTACTTCAACCCAGCCAATCCTCTGCAGAATCGGGGCATCTACACTGCAATGCCCTCTTTTTCCTTGAGCCAAACATGGCGTCCGAAGTTTGCGTTATGATGTAAAACCCAGGCCTCTGACGTCTTTATCTACAAGGCCTCTGCTACTCCTCTGTCGGGGCCTCTGGGGTCGTATTCTTTTGACTCCCCCCTCGCCAGCGTCAGCTACAGAAAAGACTGCGGACTAATTGAAACTATACAATGGGGCGCTCAAGGCATGCCTAAAAGCTTCAGCGCGTTGTCCCACTCTTGTGGTGGAAGTGTTTTTGTGAAGATGTCGGCAGCTTGCAAGATGGTATCGACATACGCAATGTCTACATCATCCTCTTCAATTACCTCGGAAATGGAACCCAAATTGACTTTATGGGCGCGCGCAATGCGTCTTAGCTTCGGCGAATAGCCCTCATCAGCAACTTGGATCGTAGCCTGGTTGTCCTCATGAACAACTATAGACTATGAACAACTAGCCGGATTGGAAAGTCGAGGATCGTCTGCCAGAGCTGCAATGGGGGAAGCGCATCTTGGAAGAGGCTATGAGCGAGGGATACAATCTCGGACTCTGTGGTACTACGACTTACAGATGTCTGGCGCTTTGACACCCATGCACGGGGAAAGAAGGTCTTAGGACCCTCTAGGACTAAGAAACCTCCACTAGTGGACTTAGCGTCGTCCCTCTCCCCTGGAAAGTCAGCATCGACGTAGAACGCAAGATGCAGCTCCCTTGGCCCGTCTGACACAGTGCCCACAAGGCGGTGGGCCTTGGTGGAATCGATGTAGCCGATCAATCGAAGCAGCTTCTTATCATCGTTCCTTGACCACTTTTCAGGACGTGCGAGTCTGCCTAGCCAAAGGGCCTTCATTAACACCTTGCATGCAGAAGGTGCGAGTTCCGCTGCCACTTCCTCCTGAATTGGGGGAAGGGAGCTCTCAGGCGCGAAACGGGTCGCAGCATGCTTCAGAGCCGTAAAGCCAGTGAGGCTCTTATACAGGTCTACTGTTTGCTGTGCATAATCATACATATCAAACGCCATGGCACCCTCTAATGCGCCTGGGGCAGCATTCTCGGTGCGTTCTGGCTCAGCGTTGATAGCGCAATGGTTTCGGCCTAGAATCCTGCACACCGGCTCTGGGGGTTCAACGTCAATAACCTTACACAATGCATCCCAAAAGGGCTGATGCTCCTCCTGTGGACCAAAGAGGGTAAGATCATCTACATAAGTGGAAAGAAGGAGCTTCAACTCAGGGAACCACAAGTTACCCGGATATTCCGGCAGCTCTTGTCCACCCATGTTTCTTAGAACCCCTTTAAGGTGCTTTTCCCAGAGTCCGCCTGCTTCTGGGTGTCCGTATAGAGCGCGTAAAAGCAGCACCACTGGGCGTGCGAAGCACTCTCGCCACCAAGCAAGGCGGAGCTCAGGCGGTAGCTCTATCCAAGTTTGGTACTTGGACTTAAGAAAAGCTTGCACGTACGCTTTGACGGCGTCTGTGGCACTAGACTGGTGGCCAGGCAAGCGACCGTAAGCTAGATAAACGTTAAGTCGCGTGAATGTCCCTGAACAGAGGTAGGGTTAGCACCTGTAGACCGCTGCGGCGCCTTCCTCGTCCTTTGCACAGTCACCACGGTAAACTATTCGGCCTTTAATCTTCTGAAGGTGCTTGGCAAGCTCCCAAAACTTGATGGATGCAATGCTCATCAGCTTTCCAAAGTGAACCTTAGTACTTGTGCAGCGCGCTTGCGCTTGGACACTTGCGCTTGGACGCTTGCGTACTCTTGCGGGTTCGTCTCGTTCCAAACAGGAACAGCACCCAGACCATCTGCGTCTTGCTTTACAGCATCAAGAGCCTCTGGCGATGAAAGCATCTCAGCTCCAGATAGAAGCTTTGTGACCATTGCAGAAACTTCGTTTGCGGGAGCTTCCTCAGGTATACCGTGAACAGCACACATAAGCGGCGTGGAACCGCCATGCTGTAGATCTGCTCTGCCAGTTGTATGACGAGACCCTGGCTTTCGTAAAAGTGCCTCTTCCTCTGCTTGGCTCCAGCTCTTCCCCCACGATAAGGTTTCCCTTCTGGACCTTGCTTGGCCTTCGGGGGCATATGCTGGCCGGTGCGCCAGAGGCTGCACCCCACCAGCTGGCTGCCTGCGCGCCTAAAGCTGCGCCTTCGCTATGGCAGACGAGAACCACTAAAACCCTGCGGCCGGGTTTAAATAGGAAACCAAAAGGACCAAAAGAGCTACGGCTGATAACCAATCAAGCGGGAAGGAAGGTACTTAAACCCAGCCAACCCTCTGCAGAACCGGGGCATCTACACTGCAATGCCCTCTTTTTCCTTGAGCCAAACATGGCGTCCGAAGTCTGTGTTATGATGTGAAACCTGGGCCTCTGAAGTCTTTATCTACAAGGCCTCTGCTACTCCTCTGTCGGGGTCTGGGGTCGTATTCTTTTGACTACAAAAGACTTGTTCGCAATCCGAAGCTGTCTATGTTGCAGGTCTTGGCAGAAACCGACGGATGTGCATACAAGAAGCTTTGATGGCTTGCCGAAGAAGCTTCGCTTTTCACACGGAATGTCGAGGATGCACTGATGCTCGTCGGAACTCAGAATCACGTGGCGTATCTGCAAGTCGGGGAAGCTCCTCCTCATCTCCTGCTCCAGTCTGTCAGTAGCCTCGGGGAGCCGCAGGCAAAGCAGGTCTCATGCTGACGTTCATGCTTCGAAAGCACAACCGTTCACATGACCCAAGAGATAGAGATCCGCAGACAGGAAGCATCCAGGTGCTCAGTCTTGCAGGGAGAATCCGCGAGCTTTGTCGATGCTGGGGGGCTGGAAGGCTTTGCTTCGACCACTTTCACCAAGTGGCGCAGGGCATTATCGGCCGCCTGTAAGTCGGGACAGCGTGGACTCTGGGCACGGAAGCTCTGAAGCTCTACCTTTCTAGGCCTCCGGGTCGTCCTTCACAGCGGCATGATACTCTTTAAAGGCGGCTATGATTTCTCTGCTTTTGCTTCGATGTCCAGACATTTTCTTTCTTCTCTTTCGCATGCCTCGGACCAGAAAAAGCCGATCGGCAATTGTCAGCAATCCAGCGCTCAACTTTCAAAGCCACACGACGCCCAGAACAGTCGGCCGGCGAAAGCAAGCTGGCATTCTCTCTCCTACCATGATCCTTTCCAACAAACCCCGGAATGCAGGGCCATGCTATTGCCGCGGGTGACTAAGAGCTGCGCCTTCCAAGCTGCATTCGCTTTCGGGCAACAGCTGGATCTGGTAGTGCTGC